CTGGTAAAGGGAAAATTATGAAATTTTCTGAAAAAATAGAGGAAAGTCAGGGGCGTATCATACAAAAATTTCAAATTTTTCCAGTAGAAAATGACTCTAGGAAAAATTCTGGAAAATTAGGGAAATTTCCCCTATTGTATTTCAATTTTTTTCTGGAAAACTGGTAAAGGGAAAATTATGAAATTTTCTGAAAAAATAGAGGAAAGTCAGGGGCGTATCATACAAAAATTTCAAATTTTTCCAGTAGAAAATGACTCTTGGAAAAATTCTGGAAAATTAGTTAAAATTAGGGAAATTTTCCCTTTTGCATTTTAATTTTTTTCTGAAAAACTATCCAAGAGAGAATTATGAAATTTTCTGGAAAAATAGAGGAAAATCAGGGGCGTATCATACTAGAATTTCAAATTTTTCTAGTGGAAAATGACTCCAGGAAAATTAGCTAAAATTAGGGAAATTCCCCCTCTTGCATTTCAATTTTTTTCTGGAAAACTATCCAAGGGAAAATTATGAAATTTTCTGAAAAAATAAAGGAAAGTCAGGGGCGTATCATACAAAAATTTCAAATTTTCCCCGTTGAAAATGACTCTTGGAAAAATTCTGGAAAATTAGTTAAAATTAGGGAAATTTCCCCTTTTGCATTTTAATTTTTTTCTGAAAAACTATCCAAGAGAGAATTATGAAATTTTCTGAAAAAATAAAGGAAAGTCAGGGGCGTATCATACAAAAATTTCAAATTTTTCCAGTAGAAAATGACTCTAGGAAAAATTCTGGAAAATTAGGGAAATTTCCCCTATTGTATTTTAATTTTTTTCTGGAAAACTGGTATAAGGAAAATTATGAAATTTTCTGAAAAAATAGAGGAAAGTCAGGGGCGTATCATACTAGAATTTCAAATTTTTCCAGTGGAAAATGCCTCCAGGAAAATTAGCTAAAATTAGGGAAATTCCCCCTCTTGCATTTCAATTTTTTTCTGGAAAACTATCCAAGGGAAAATTATGAAATTTTCTGAAAAAATAAAGGAAAGTCAGGGGCGTATCATACAAAAATTTCAAATTTTTCCCGTTGAAAATGACTCTTGGAAAAATTCTGGAAAATTAGTTAAAATTAGGGAAATTTCCCCCTTTTGCATTTTAATTTTTTTCTGAAAAACTATCCAAGAGAGAATTATGAAATTTTCTGAAAAAATAAAGGAAAGTCAGGGGCGTATCATACAAAAATTTCAAATTTTTCCAGTAGAAAATGACTCTAGGAAAAATTCTGGAAAATTAGGGAAATTTCCCCTATTGTATTTTAATTTTTTTCTGGAAAACTGGTATAAGGAAAATTATGAAATTTTCTGAAAAAATAGAGGAAAGTCAGGGGCGTATCATACTAGAATTTCAAATTTTTCCAGTGGAAAATGCCTCCAGGAAAATTAGCTAAAATTAGGGAAATTCCCCCTCTTGCATTTCAATTTTTTTCTGGAAAACTATCCAAGGGAAAATTATGAAATTTTCTGAAAAAATAAAGGAAAGTCAGGGGCGTATCATACAAAAATTTCAAATTTTTCCCGTTGAAAATGACTCTTGGAAAAATTCTGGAAAATTAGTTAAAATTAGGGAAATTTCCCCTTTTGCATTTTAATTTTTTTCTGAAAAACTATCCAAGAGAGAATTATGAAATTTTCTGAAAAAATAAAGGAAAGTCAGGGGCGTATCATACAAAAATTTCAAATTTTTCCAGTAGAAAATGACTCTAGGAAAAATTCTGGAAAATTAGGGAAATTTCCCCTATTGTATTTTAATTTTTTTTTGGAAAACTGGTAAAGGGAAAATTATGAAATTTTCTGAAAAAATAGAGGAAAATCAGGGGCGTATCATATTAGAATTTCAAATTTTTCCAGTGGAAAATGACTCCAGGAAAATTAGCTAAAATTGGGGAAATTGCCCCTCTTGCATTTCAATTTTTTTCTGGAAAACTATCCAAGAGAAAATTATGAAATTTTCTAAAAAAATAAAGGAAAGTCAGGGGCGTATCATACAGAAATTTCAAATTTTTCCAGTAGAAAATGACTCTAGGAAAAATTCTGGAAAATTAGGGAAATTTCCCCTATTGTATTTTAATTTTTTTCTGGAAAACTGGTAAAAGGAAAATTATGAAATTTTCTGAAAAAATAGAGAAAAGTCAGGGGCGTATCATACTAGAATTTCAACTTTTTCCAGTGGAAAATGCCTCCAGGAAAATTAGCTAAAATTAGGGAAATTCCCCCTCTTGCATTTCAATTTTTTTCTGGAAAACTATCCAAGGGAAAATTATGAAATTTTCTGAAAAAATAAAGGAAAGTCAGGGGCGTATCATACAAAAATTTCAAATTTTTCCCGTTGAAAATGACTCTTGGAAAAATTCTGGAAAATTAGTTAAAATTAGGGAAATTTCCCCTTTTGCATTTTAATTTTTTTCTGAAAAACTATCCAAGAGAGAATTATGAAATTTTCTGAAAAAATAAAGGAAAGTCAGGGGCGTATCATACAAAAATTTCAAATTTTTCCAGTAGAAAATGACTCTAGGAAAAATTCTGGAAAATTAGGGAAATTTCCCCTATTGTATTTTAATTTTTTTTTGGAAAACTGGTAAAGGGAAAATTATGAAATTTTCTGAAAAAATAGAGGAAAATCAGGGGCGTATCATATTAGAATTTCAAATTTTTCCAGTAGAAAATGACTCCAGGAAAATTAGCTAAAATTGGGGAAATTGCCCCTCTTGCATTTCAATTTTTTTCTGGAAAACTATCCAAGAGAAAATTATGAAATTTTCTAAAAAAATAGAGGAAAGTCAGGGGCGTATCATACTAGAATTTCAAATTTTTCCAGTAGAAAATGACTCTAGGAAAAATTCTGGAAAATTAGGGAAATTTCCCCTATTGTATTTTAATTTTTTTCTGGAAAACTGGTAAAGAGAAAATTATGAAATTTTCTGAAAAAATAGAGGAAAGTCAGGGGCGTATCATACAAAAATTTAAAATTTTTCCCGTAGAAAATGACTCTTGGAAAAATTCTGGAAAATTAGGGAAATTTCCCCTATTGTATTTTAATTTTTTTCTGGAAAACTGGTAAAGGGAAAATTATGAAATTTTCTGAAAAAATAGAGGAAAGTCAGGGGCGTATCATACTAAAATTTCAAATTTTTCCAGTGGAAAATGCCTCCAGGAAAATTAGCTAAAATTAGGGAAATTCCCCCTCTTGCATTTCAATTTTTTTCTGGAAAACTATCCAAGGGAAAATTATGAAATTTTCTGAAAAAATAAAGGAAAGTCAGGGGCGTATCATACAAAAATTTCAAATTTTTCCCGTTGAAAATGACTCTTGGAAAAATTCTGGAAAATTAGTTAAAATTAGGGAAATTTCCCCTTTTGCATTTTAATTTTTTTCTGAAAAACTATCCAAGGGAAAATTATGAAATTTTCTGAAAAAATAAAGGAAAGTCAGGGGCGTATCATACAAAAATTTCAAATTTTTCCAGTAGAAAATGACTCTAGGAAAAATTCTGGAAAATTAGGGAAATTTCCCCTATTGTATTTTAATTTTTTTCTGGAAAACTGGTAAAGGGAAAATTATAAAATTTTCTGAAAAAATAGAGGAAAGTCAGGGGCGTATCATACTAGAATTTCAAATTTTTCCAGTGGAAAATGACTCCAGGAAAATTAGCTAAAATTAGGGAAATTGCCCCTCTTGCATTTAAATTTTTTTCTGGAAAATTATTCAAGGGAAAATTATGAAATTTTCTGAAAAAATAAAGGAAAGTCAGGGGCGTATCATACAAAAATTTCAAATTTTTTCAGTGGAAAATAACTCTAGAAAAAATTCTGGAAAATTAGCTAAACTTAGGGAAATTCCCCCTCTTGCATTTTAATTTTTTTCCGAAAAACTATCCAAGGGAGAATTATGAAATTTTCTGAAAAAATAGAGGAAAATCAGGGGCGTATCATATTAAAATTTCAAATTTTTCCAGTGGAAAATGCCTCCAGGAAAATTAGCTAAAATTACAGAAATTCCCCCTCTTGCATTTCAATTTTTTTCTGGAAAACTATCCAAGGGAAAATTATGAAATTTTCTGAAAAAATAAAGGAAAGGCAGGGGCGTATCATACAAAAATTTCAAATTTTTCCAGTAGAAAATGACTCTAGGAAAAATTCTGGAAAATTAGGGAAATTTCCCCTATTGTATTTTAATTTTTTTTTGGAAAACTGGTAAAGGGAAAATTATGAAATTTTCTGAAAAAATAGGGGAAAGTCAGGGGTGTATCATACTAAAATTTCAAATTTTTCCAGTTGAAAATGACTCTAGGAAAAATTCTGAAAAATTAGCTAAAATTAGGAAAATTCCCTCTTTTGCATTTCAATTTTTTTCTGGAAAACTATCCAAGGGAAAATTATGAAATTTTCTGGCAAAATAGAGGAAAGTCAGGGGCGTATCATAGTAAAATTTCAAATTTTTCCAATGGAAAATAACACCATTGGAAATTAATGAAGTTTCAGTAATGCACCATCTTACATTTTATTTTTTTCCTGGAAAACTATCCAAAGGAAAATTATGAAATTTTCTAGACAAAACGAGAAAAGTCAGGGGCGTATCACACTAAAATTTCAAATTTTTAACGCGAAAAACAACAAAATTAAAAATAATTATTTTAAGAATTAAATAGGGGTGCATTCCATAATATCTTTTTTAACAATTGACAGTGTAAACCTAGTCACCAAAAAAAAAAAAATACTAAATTGACACTTTTGACAGTTGACATTTAAAATATCAATTGTCAAAAAATACATACACGCTTGCACGCCAACACAAAAAATTCCCCCCAAAATTTTTAAAGTCAACTTTGAGCCTCAATAGCTCAAAAACCATTTGAGCTATTGAGCTCAATTTTGCACCATTTTATAGAGAATTTAATCCTCTTTGCAACCATATATAATTTATTTTAATTTGTTTAAATTTTAATAAAAATAATAATTGTTTACTCACCTAATGTCACTGGTCCAGTGGGCTGGGGCCACAACTGTGTCGACCCACATAGCATATTGCAAGTACTCAGACCAGTTATTATTGACTTTTCTGAGACTATGTGTCTTTCGCATTTCTGATTCACGCAATGCCAGGTCCATTGAGCCGGATACGATTTACTAAAAATCAAAAATATGATGTAAACCCACTCAAATTTTTTCAATGTAATTTCCATTGTCAAGAGATGGCGCTTTGTATTAACCCAATACAATTGACTCGGTTTACACCGCAAAAACTTACCGACTTGAAGTGTAGATGCGTTTGTAGGTCAAAACCAGTGAGTGTAAAGGCCTCGTGCCTTGTTGCCAATACAAATAAACAAACAAGGAAAAACACAGAAATGTGGCAACAATGAGGGTGCGCCTTAGCTCCCCCTGCTTCATGCTTTTTCCAACCCTGGAACTGAAATAATCAATTTATTGATTATTTTTTCAAATAATTGAATTTGAAATGAATAATTCTACTCCTAAGGCCCCTGTTCATGGGGTAAATGTAGCCCTAGGGGGGTACGTAATAATTATTTATTTTTTCTTAATGTAAAATACAATTATTATAGGGCAATGTTAAGTGGAATAATTTTGGGCATTATTGTCTTATGTTATTGTTGTCACAAGTCTAATAAAAAATCACTTATATGGAGGGACCCCCAACAAATGGCTATGGAAATTTACACGGTAGAACCTGTTCAAAATGTAGGAATTTTGCCTCTAATTTTTTTTTAGGGAAATTATTCAAGTTTTTTTAGAGAAATTTCGAGGAAATTGGACCTCCTCCAAGCTACGATTCTTTGCCCAATAATGGCAACACTGTTGCTGGGGAGCTACCAAGTTATGAAGCAGCCTGTCAAAAGGCCTTGTAACTTTTTTAATTTTCAACCGATTTTAATGTAACTAGGCCCAAATTAAAGCCAATCAAATTCTCTACAAATTACTAATTTACAGTTTTTGTGCAGCTGCAATAGTTTCGCAGCTGCGCAGCTGCAAACCTTAAGACCCATTTTGCCTTACAGTTGCATTAATTTTCAATGTAATTTGGCTCTTATTGAAGCCAATTAAATCGAAATACCAGGGGTACTTACCCAAAAAATCAAGCTGCACAACAAAAATAAAACATTTGACCTCTACTGAGTGGTACCACAAACAAAAAGGTTTTTCTACCTGTGTGAGACCAAGAGAGAGAACGACCTTGTGATTCTGTGATTTGATTGGTTCAAAAATTGAGTAAAGAAAATCGAAAACGCCTTATAAGTTAATTAATTATATAAAGAAAAATACAAAAAATAAACAAATAATAAATAAACATAACCTCACTATTATTGGTTGGTTGGTAGTTTTGAAAACGCTACACTACAAAATAAAGATTATTTGAAAACACCTTTATTTTTTTTTTTATAGATTGAAGTACCATTGGGTCCCCTCCAGTACCACATGTAAGTAATTTTGTTTTTTTATTTATTTCATTGATAATAATTGAAGTTTGCGTATGAAAATCATAGATGGCGCCACTGGAAATCTTGTATTTAAGTGTCAAGAAACGATGCAGTTTTTGCATGAAAATCATAGATGGCGCCACCTGACTTTTTGTATCTATGCGTCAAGAAACAATAAAGTTTACGTATGAAACACATAGATGGCGCCACGTGTGTGAAATTTTCAATTATTTTGTGTTTGCGATAGAAATTATAGATGGCGCCACCATTGAGGTAGGTATTTTTAATTGTAAAAAGGTCTAATTATGACATTAATTGCCTCTAAACAAAACATTCGAACAAATTACAGGTTTCTGTAGTTTGCAATAAAAATCATAGATGGCGCCACATGTCAAAGTTTGAATCAGTTTTTGTTAAGTCTGCAAGTGACGTCATCAGGAAAGGTGGCCTCGCAACAAGGATATTCATGTCAATATTTTGATTAAAATTGACCTGTTACTGTGTTTTGCAAGTGTATTTTTAAGTTTGAAACGGTTTTTGATAGGTCTGCTGGTGACGTCATCACATAAAATTGCTTTGTAATTATTAAAAGTGACATGCATTTTTGAGTTTGAAATGGTTTTTGTTGGGTCTGCAAATGACGTTAAGTAAGTAAGATGGCCTTTTAACAAGGTTGTTCTTAATAAAATTCTGATTAAGGGCGGGTATTGTAAAACTATTTTGATAGATATTCCAAAAGTTAACTGTCAAAATAGTTTTATAATACCCGCCCTAAAAGTGACATAATTGGCCTGTCACTGTGTTTCGCAGGTGCATTTTTAAATATAAAACGGTTTTTGTTAGGTCTTCAGGTGACGTCATCGCCTTGTAGCAAGGATATTCATTTAAAAATGTTGATTAAAACTGCCTATCGCTGTATTTTGCTGGGTTTCTAAGTGACGTCATCGTCTAAGATAGCCTTGTAGCAAGGATATTAATTCCAAATTTTTGAAGAGTGAAAAAGTTGCCGTGTTTTGCGGGTGCATTCAAACGGTTTTTGTTATGTCTAATGATGACGTCATTATTTAATGTGGCCTTATAACAAGGATAATCATTTCAAAATTTTGAATAAAAGTGACAAAATTGGCCTGTCACTGTTTTGCGAGTGCATTTTTAAGTTTGGAACAATTTTTATTGGGTCTGCAAATGACGTCATCATGTAAAATGACCTTGTAACAAGGATATTCATTCCAAAATTTTGATGAAAAGTGCCTGTCATTGTGTTTTGCTGGTGCATTTTTAATTTCTGTTAGGTCTGCAAGTGACGTCATCATGTAAGGTGGCCTTGTAACAAAGATAGTCAATTCAAAATTTGTCTTAATTGCCAGTCACTGTGTTTTGCGAGTGTATTTTTAAGTTTGTTAGGTTTGCAGGTGACGTCATCATGTCTTATTCTTGAACTAAGAGCACTTTAATTGAAGTTTTGAAGGTTCACTTGTAAGCGCTTTTTTTGCTCTAAAGTGAACAAAAACTGCTCTGCTTCAATCAACTGTTAAAATATTACTCGGCTACCTTAATTAATGACGTCACCATCAGTACTAATAAATCAAAAATATTACTTTGAAGTTTCACAGTTCCACAGAACAGTCAAGGTAGTTCGAACAGTTGAACAGTTCAAAAAGAGTCAGGGCACTTGGAACAGTCAGTGTAGAACTGCTAAAAAACCAAAAATGATTTTCAATTCAGCCTGCGATAAATAGAATTCTATTTGACCGATTGAAAATCCTTGTTATAAGACATGATGACGTCACCTGCAAACCTAACAGACTTAAAAATACACTCGCAAAACACAGTGACTGGCAATTAAAACCCAAAATGCATCCACAAAACACAGTGACAGGCCTTTTTAATTGAAATTTTGAAATGAATATCTTTGCTACAAGGCCACTTTACATGATGACGTCACTTGCAGACCTAACAGAAACCATTTGAAACTAAAAATGCACTTGCAAAACACACAGACACGGCAACTTTGTCACTCTTGATCAAAATTTTTGAAATAAAATCCTTGCTGCAGGGCTATCTTAGACGATGACGTCACTTACAAACCCAGCAAAAACCGTTTTTAAACTTAAAAATGCATTCGCCAAATACAGCGACAAGCAGTTTTATCAAAATTTTCAAATGAATATCCTTGCTACAAGGCAATTTTACGGGATGACGTCACCTGCAGACCTCTCAGAAACCGTTTTAAACTCAAAAATACACTTGTAAAACACAGTGACAGGCCAATTTTAATCAAAATATTGTTGTTGCGAAGTCATCTTTTATGATGACGTCACCAGCAGGCTTAACAAAAACTGTTTCAAATTTGAAATGCATGCCCGCAAAACACAGTGACAGGCTTTTTTTAATCAAAATTTCTAATTTGCAAGTTTGCATATGAAAATCGTAGATGGCGCCACTTGAAATTTCGTATTTGTGTCAAGAAACAATGAAGTTTGCGTATAAGCTCATAGATGGCGCCACTTAAAAATGGTAATTTTTCATTTTTATTGCCAAATTAGGGCATTAATTGGGTAAATTTTCACTTATTGAGCGCATTTAAATGTAATTTTATTTATATTTTATATTAATTTATCATAAAACAATTAAAAAAGGGTTTTGTAGTTTGCGATAGAAATCACAGATGGCGCCACTTTGAAATGATAAATTTTCATTTTTAATTGAAAAAACGCCCAAATTGGGGCATTAATTGGGTAAATTTTCACACAATATTTTGTATTTTGCTTATTATAAAACAATGAAAAAAGGTTTTTGTAATTTGCGATAAAAATCATAGATGGCGCTTTTGCAAAAAAAAATTGTAATTCTCAAATTTTGAAACTTCTGAGCAACGAAACTGTCAAAACTAATTTGACAGATTTATGAAGAATTTAATTAGCTTCATTTTTAAAATGTTCCAAAAGATTTATGAAGTTCCAACGAGTTTTGAAACGTTTTAAAAATGTTCAAAATTAATAAAAATTCGTTCCAAAGTTGTTAAAACTCAATGAAATGAAATTTTTAAACTGTTCCAACAAGTTCCAAAAAATTTATCAAGTTTCAATAAATGCATAGAATTCAAAAAATTGTTCCGAGTGAGTTTTTTGGACTGTTAAAACGAGTTCCAAAAAATTTATAAAGTTTCAACAAATTTAAAGAGTTTGAAAAATTGTTCCAATGCTGTTTAGGAACATTGGAACTCGTTGGAGTGAGTTTTTTAGACTGTTTCAATGAGTTCCAAAAAAACTTATAACGTTTCAATTTATTTAAAAATTCGTTCCAATACTATTTACATTTATTAGAACTCGTTGGAGTGAGTTTTTTGAACTGTTTCAACAAGTTCTAAAAGATTTATAAAGTTCCAACGAGTTTTGAAACAATTTAAAAATGTTCAAAATTAACAAAAATTCGTGCCAAAGTTGTTAAAGCTCGTTGATATGAAATTTTTAAACTGTTCCAACGAGTTCCAAAAAATTTATAAAATTTCAACAAATTCGAAAAGTTCGAAAACTCATTCCAATGCTGTTTAGGAACATTGGAACTCGTTGGAGTGAGTTTTTTGGACTGTTTCAACAAGTTCCAAAAGATTTATAAAGTTCCAACGAATTCTGAAACGTTTCAAAAATGTTCAAAATTAACAAAAACTCGTGCCAAAGTTGGTTAAAGCTCGTTGATATGAAATTTTTAAACTGTTCCAACGAGTTTCAAAAAATTTATATAGTTTCAACAAATCCAAAAAGTTCGAAAACTCGTTCCAATGCTGTTAATAAGTTTTTTAGACTGTTCCTACGAGTTCCAAAAAAATTTATAATGTTTCAATTTATTTAAAAATTCGTTCCAATACTATTTGAACCCATTAGAACTTGTGGGAGTGAGTTTTTGGACTGTTCCAGCGAGTTCCAAAAGATTAATAAAGCTCCAACAAGCTCTAAAGCGTTTTAAAAATGTTCAAAATTAACAAAAACTCGTTCCAAAGTTGTAAAAGCTCGTTGATATGAAATTTTTAAACTGTTCCAACAAGTTCCAAAAATTTTATAAAGTTTAAACAAATTTAAAGAGTTCGAAAAATTGTTCCAATGCTGTTTAGGAACATTGGAACTCGTTGGAGTGAGTTTTTTGGACTGTTTCAATGAGTTCCAAAAAAACTTATAACGTTTCAATTTATTTGAAATCTTGAAAATTCGTTCCAGTACTATTTAAATTTATTAGAACTCGTTGGAGTGAGTTTTTTGAACTGTTTCAATAAGTTCTAAAAGATTTATAAAGTTCCAACGAGTTTTGAAACGTTTTAAAAATGTTCAAAATTAACAAAAATTCGTATCAAAGTTATTAAAACTCGTTGAAATGAAATTTTTAAACTGTTTTAACGAGTTCCAAAAAATTTATAAAGTTTCAACAAATCCAAAAAATTCGAAAACTCGTTCCAATGCTGTTTAGAAACATTGGAACTCGTTGGGGTGACTTTTTTGCACTGTTCCAACGAGTTCCAAAAAAATTTATAACGTTTCAATTTATTTGAAAATTTGTTTCAATACTATTTGAACTCATTAGAACTCGTTGGAGTGAGTTTTTTGGACTGTTTCAATAGATTCTAAAAGGTTTATAAAGTTCTAACGAGTTTTGAAACGTTTCAAAAATGTTCAAAATTAACAAAAACTCGTTTCAAAGTTGTAAAAGCTCGTTGATATGAATTTTTTTAACTGTTCCAACGAGTTCCAAAAAATTTATAAAGTCTCAACAAATTCAAAAAGTTCGAAAACTCGTTCCATTGTTGTTTGGGAACATTGGAACTCGTTGCAATGAGTTTTTTAGACTGTTTCAATGAATTCCAAAAAAATTTATAACGTTTCAAGTTACTTAAAAATTTGTTTCAATATTATTTCAATTTATTAGAACTAATTGAAGAGAGGTTTTTTGGACTGTTTCAACAAGTTCTAAAAGATTTATAAAGTTCCAACGAGTTTTGAAACGTTTCAAAAATGTTCAAAATTAACAAAAATTCGTACCAAAGTTATTAAAACTCGTTGAAATGAAATATTTAAACTGTTCCAACGAGTTCCAAAGAATTTATAAATTTTTAACAAATCTAAAAAGTTCGAAAACTCGTTTCAATGCTGTTTAAGAACATTGGAACTCGTTGGAGTGAGTTTTTTAGACTGTTGCAACGAGTTCCAAAAAAATATATAATGTTTCAATTTATTTAAAAATTCGTTCCAATACTATTTGAACTTATTAGAACTCGTTGGAGTGAATTTTTTGGACTGTTCCAAAAGATTTATAAAGTTCCAACGAGTTTTGAAACGTTTTAATTGTTCAAAATTAACAAAAATTCGTTCCAAAGTTGTTAAAGCTCGTTGAAACGAAATTTTTAAACTGTTCCAACTAATTCCAAAAAATTTATAAAGTCTCAACAAATCTAAGATTTCGAAAACTCGTTTCAATGCTGTTTAAGAACATTGGAACTCGTTGGAATGAGTTTTTTAGGCTATTTCAATGAGTTCCAAAAATATTTGTAACGTTTCAATTTATTTAAAAATTTGTTCCAATACTATTTGATTTCATTAGAACTCGTTGGATTGAGTTTTTTGGATTGTTCCAACGAGTTCCAAAAGGAATTTTGAGATGTTTCAAAAATCTTCAAAATTAACAAAAATTCGTTAAAAAGTTGTTGAAGTTCGTTAAACGAAATTTTTAAAATGTTCCAACGAATTTCCGAAAATTTATAAAGTTCCAACAAATCCAAAGCATTTGAAAGCTCGTTTCAACGAGTTTCAATAAGGTTGGAATAAGATTTTGTGAATTTTGAATATTTTTCAAAAGTTTCAAAACTTGATGGAACTTCAAAATCCGTTGAAGCAGTCTTGAAAACTCACTCTAATGAGTTTCAATGCTTGTAAACAATATTGGAACGATTTTTCGAATTAGTTGGAGCTTGATAAATATTTTGGAACATTTCAAAAATTTCGTTTTACCGAGTTTCAAAAAGTTTGGAATAAGTTTTTGTGAATTTTGAATATTTTTGAAACGTTTCAAAACTTGTTGGAACTTTAAAAACCTTTTGGAACTTGTTGAAACAATCCTGAAAACTCACACTAACGAGTTCTAATGCTTGTAAACCACATTGGAACGAACTTTCGAATTAGTTGGAGCTCGATAAATATTTTGGAACATTTCAAAAATTTCGTTTCAACGAGTTTCAAGAAGTTTGGAATAAGTTTTTGTGAATTTTGAATATTTTTGAAACGTTTCAAAACTCGTAACGACTTTAAAAACCTTTTGCAATTCGTTGAAACAGTCCTGAAAACTCACTCTAACGAGTTTCAATGCTTGTAAATAATATTGGAACGATTTTTCGAATTAGTTGGAGCTTGATAAATATTTTGGAACATTTCAAAAATTTCGTTTTACCGAGTTTCAAAAAGTTTGGAATAAGTTTTTGTGAATTTTGAATATTTTTGAAACGTTTCAAAACTTGTTGGAACTTTAAAAACCTTTTGGAATTTGTTGAAACAATCCTGAAAACTCACACTAACGAGTTCTAATGCTTGTAAACCACATTGGAACGAATTTTCGAATTAGTTGGAGCTCGATAAATATTTTGGAACATTTCAAAAATTTCGTTTCAACGAGTTTCAAAAAGTTTGAAATAAGTTTTTGTGAATTTTGAATATTTTTGAAACGTTTCAAAACTCGTTACGACTTTAAAAACCTTTTGCAATTCGTTGAAACAGTCCTGAAAACTCACTCTAACGAGTTTCAATGCTTGTAAACAATATTGGAACGATTTTTCGAATTAGTTGGAGCTTGATAAATATTTTGGAACATTTCAAAAATTTCGTTTTACCGAGTTTCAAAAAGTTTGGAATAAGTTTTTGTGATTTTGAATATTTTTGAAACGTTTCAAAACTTGTTGGAACTTTAAAAACCTTTTGGAACTTGTTGAAACAATCCTGAAAACTCACACTAACGAGTTCTAATGCTTGTAAACAATATTGGAACGAATTTTCGAATTAGTTGGAACTTGATAAATTTTTTGGAACATTTCAAAAATTTCGTTTTAACAAGTTTCAAAAAGTTTGGAATAAGTTTTTGTGAATTTTGAATATTTTTGAAACGTTTCAAAACTTGTTGGAACTTTAAAAACCCGTTGAAACAGTCCTGGAAATTCACATTAACAAGTTTCAATGCTTATAAACAACATTGGAACAAATTTTCGAATTAGTTGGAACTTGATAAATATTTTGGAAAATTTCGTGACAGTCTCACAGTGACTTTGTCACTTTTAGAATTTTGAAATGAAAATCCTTGTGATGACGTCACTATCAGACCGAATAAAAACCGTTTAAAATTCGAAAAAAGCATTCGCAAAACAGTCACAAGCATTTTTAATCAAAATTTTCAAACGAATATCCTTGCTACAAGGCAATTTTACGCGATGACGTCACTTGCAGACCTATCAAAAACGGTTTCAAACCTAAAAATACGCTTGCAAAACACAGTAACAGTTCAATTTTTTTCACTTTTAATTAAAATTTTGAAATGAATATCCTTGCTACAAGACAATTTTACACGATGACGTCACTTGCAGACCTAACAAAAACCGTTCCAAACTAAAAATACGTCACTTTTAATCAAAATTTTGCCTTGTTAGGCCACCTTACACGATGACGTCATCATCAGACCCAGCAAAAACCGTTTAAAATTTAAAAATGCATTCGTAAAACATAGTGACGGCACTTTCAAATAAATGTCCTTGCTTCAGGGCAATTTTACGTTATGACGTCACTTGCAGACCTAACAGAAACCGTTTCAAACTTAAAAATATGCTTGCAAAACATAATTTTAATCAAAATTTTGAAATAAATATTCTACCTATAATGACGTCACTTGCAGACCCAACAAAAACTAGATCAGACTCAAAAAATGCACCCGTAAAACTTAATGTCACTTTTTTTTTTTTTAAATCAAAATTTCTAATTTATTTTTCCAACAAAAAATTCAATGATGATGGGCGATAACGTCAACTATTGCAGCCCTCCTTCTACTTCAAAAATTTCCTTGCTTTCAAAGACATTTTACTGGATTTTCCAGGTATTATTTTTCTTGTTTAAAACCATTTGGAATCCTATAACGTGGTTTTTGTTGAAAACCATCTTCCATGTGACTAGTGAGATTTTTATTTATTTGGTTTTGGGTGCCTGCTCCATTTTGATTGGTACCATTACGCAAATTGATGTTTATTATAGCAAAAATTTATCATTGAAGAAAAATAATGGTAATTTATTGTAATTTATTTTAATTAATTATTTATTAATTGTTTATTTTTTTTAGTAGAAATTCCAAGAAGAGACGGTTTACGTATTGAAAATTGTACAATTAAAAGATTTGTAGAGATTTCGCAATAAATAATTCATAGATGGCGCCACATGATGTGGAATATTGCATATTTATATACTTTTTATTTAATTTAAATACATAGAAAATTTTAACTCGAATGTTGGCTGGGTGTCAGCCCTCCTGCCCCAGTACTATGCTCAGGGCTGTGCTTCTGCTTTTTCCTCTTTTTCTCCTTTTTTCGCTTCTTTCTTTCCTTGTCATCCTCATGCCTTTTTTGTTTCTTGTGCTTCTTTTCGTGGGTGTCTCCACCTGCTTCAGCAATAGCTGCTTCTGTTGAAGGCAAACCTCCACCTGCTTCTTTATGCTTATGCTTTTTGTGCTTATTTTTATGCTTTTTAATAGGAGTTGCATTGGTGTATCTGTATTGTTCTGGTAACTGGAAAAATAATTATTAAAAATTGAAGCAGAAAACTTATATAGAGTTTTAGCATTACTGGTCCTGGGTGTAGTCTGAAGCCTTCTAGTTGGGAACTAGTAAGAGGCAAAAGGTCTTTGCCCCCTACAGGAGGTTTTTCAATGACACTCCTTAGGGAGCTATTGTCGCTCTGGCCTGGAGCATCAATTACTCCAGGCAATGTGGGCAAAAAGGATGACAACTGCTCCTTTAACTTTTTACCACTAAACTTACTATAGGAATGTTCTAGGCCATAGTAGGCCATCAAATTTGTAGCTCCAGTTATTTCAGATTCGCCTACAAAAAGACCCTAATAAAAGACTGTTTGTATAATGGGGTCTTTACTTACCTGGGGGTTCTTTGAGTAGATAAAAGGGTCCACTGGGGACAATTGAAGGGTTTTTCCCTAAAAGAATCGTCGTTTTTAGGGTTCCGGAGGAATCTTGGCGCGAAACGACCGGTGAACGCGCCCCCCTCGGTGACGATTTCGGCGAATATTGTTCGACTTTACGAAATTGGTCGCCCATCATTTTTTTAAACCATAATAATTACGAAAAACTTGATAAAAATTACAATTTGTTGTTATTTTGTGTTGACGTTTCAAACCCCCGAAATGTCAAAACAAATTGATTTCTTGACATTTAACATGGGGCGCCATCTATGAATTTTTTATTGCAAACTATAGAAATCTGTAATTTGTTTGAATGTTTTAATACTTGACCTGTAATTATTGAACAGTTTTTGTTGGGTCTTCAAGTGACGTCATCATAAAAGATGGCCTCGCAAAAAGGATATTTTAATTAAAATTAGCCTGTCATCGTGTTTTACAAATGTAATTTTAAGTTTCTTATAGGTCTGCAGGTGACGTCATCATGTAAAAAAATGTGAGGATATTCATTTGAAAATTTTAATTGAAACTGCGTTTTATAATACCCGCCCTCAAACGGTTTTTGCTGGGTTTGTAAGTGACGTCATCGTCTAAGATAGCCTTGTAGCAAGGATATTAATTCCAAAATTTTGAATAAAATCAACAAAATTTGTCTGTCACCGTTTTGATATTGCATTTTTTTAAGTTTGGAAGAGTTTTTACTAAGTCTGCGAGTGACGTCATCATTTAAAATGGCCTTGTAACAACCTGCGGGTGCATTTTCAGTTTCTGTTAGGTCTGCAAGTGACGTCATCATGTAAAGTGGCCTTGTTGCAAAGATGTGCATTTTAAAATTTCAATTAAACATGCCGGTCACTGTGTTTTGCGAGTGTAATTTTAGGTTTGAAACGGTTTTTGATAGGTCTGCAGGTGACGTCATTACGTAAAAATGCTTTGTAGAAAGGATATTCATTTGAAAATTTTGATTAAAATCGCGTTTTATACTACTCGCCCTTAAACGGTTTTTGGTGGGTTTGTAAGTGACGTCATCGTCTAAGATAGCCTTGTAGCAAGGATATTAATTCCAAAATTTTAATCAAGAGTGACAAAGTTGCCGTGTCACTGTGTTTTGCGGGTGCATTCAAACGGTTTAATGATGACATCATCATGTAATGTGGCCTTGTAACAAGGATATTCATTTCAAAATTTTACCTGTCACCGTTTTGCGAAAGCATTTTTTTAAGTTTGGAACAGTTTTTATTAAGTCTGCGAGTGACGTCATCATGTAATTTGGCCCTAAAACAACCAAAATTTTCATTAAAAATACCTGTCACTGTATTTTGCGGGTGCATTTTTAGTTTCTGTTAGGTCTGCAAGTTACGTCATCATGTAAGGTGGTTTTGCAGCAAAGATATTCATTCCAAAATTTTAATAAAAAGTGTCAGTCACTGTGTTTTGCGAGTGTAATTTTAAGTTTGAAACGGTTTTTGAAAGGTCTGCAGGTGACGTCATCATGTGAAAATTCTTTATAATGAGGTTAATCATTTGAAAATTTAGATTAAAACTACGTTTTTTAATACTCGCCCTTGAACGGTTTTTGTTGGGTTTGTAAGTGACGTCATCGTCTAAGATAGCCTTGTAGCAAGGATATTAATTCCAAAATTTTAATCAAGAGTGACAAAGTTGCCGTGTCACTGTGTTTTGCGGGTGCATTCAAACGGTTTAATGATGACATCATCATGTAATGTGGCCTTGTAACAAGGATATTCATTTCAAAATTTTACCTGTCACCGTTTTGCGAAAGCATTTTTTTAAGTTTGGAACAGTTTTTATTAAGTCTGCGAGTGACGTCATCATGTAATTTGGCCCTAAAACAACCAAAATTTTGATTAAAAGTGCCTGTCACTGTATTTTGCGGGTGTATTTTTAGTTTCTGTAAGGTCTGCAAATGACGTCATCATGCAGTTTGGGTTTTAATTACCTCACTGTGTTTTGCGAGTGTATTTTTTTAATTCGGAATAGTTTTTACTAAGTCTGCGAGTGACGTCATCATTTAAAATGGCCTTGTAACAACCTGCGGGTGCATTTTCAGTTTCTGTTATGTCCGCAAGTGACGTCATCATGTAAAGTGGCCTTGTTGCAAAGATGTGTATTTTAAAATTTCAATTAAAAATGCCGGTCACTATGTTTTGCGAGTGTAATTTTAGGTTTGAAACAGTTTTTGATAGGTCTGCAGGTGACGTCATTACGTGAAAATGCTTTGTAGAAAAGATATTCATTTGAAAATTTTGATTAAAATTGCGTTTTACTCGCCCTTAAACGGTTTTTGGTGGGTTTGTAAGTGACGTCAACGTCTAAGATAGCCTTGTAGCAAGGATATTAATTCCAAAATTTTAATCAAGAGTGAGAAAGTTGCCGTGTCACTGTGTTTTGCGGGTGCATTCAAACGGTTTAATGATGACATCATCATGTAATGTGGCCTTGTTGTAACAAGCATATTCATTTCAAAATTTTAAATAAAAGTGACAAAATTTACCTGTCACCGTTTTGCGAAAGCATTTTTTTAAGTTTGGAACAGTTTTTATCAAGTCTGCGAGTGACGTCATCATGTAATTTGGCCCTAAAACAACCAAAATTTTGATTAAAAATACCTGTCACTGTGTTTTGCGGGCGCATTTTTAGTTTCTGTTAGTTCTGCAAATGACGTCATCATGTAAGGTTGTCTTGCAGCAAAGATATTCATTCCAAAATTTTAATAAAAAGTGTCAGTCACTGTGTTTTGCGAGTGTAATTTTAAGTTTGAAACGGTTTTTGAAAGGTCTGCAGGTGACGTCATCATGTGAAAATTCTTTATAATGAGGTTAATCATTTGAAAATTTAGATTAAAACTACGTTTTTTAATACTCGCCCTTGAACGGTTTTTGTTGGGTTTGTAAGTGACGTCATCGTCTAAGATAGCCTTGTAGCAAGGATATTAATTCCAAAATTTTGAATAAAATTAACAAAATTTGCCTGTCACCGTTTTGTTATTGCATTTTTTTAAATTGAAAGAGTTTTTACTAAGTCTGCGAGTGACGTCATCATTTAAAATGGCCTTGTAACAACCTGCGGGTGCATTTTCAGTTTCTGTTAGGTCTGCAAGTGACGTCATCATGTAAAGTGGCCTTGTTGCAAAGATGTTCATTTTAAAATTTCAATTAAAAATGCCAGTCACTATGTTTTGCGAGTGTAATTTTAGGTTTGAAACGGTTTTTGATAGGTCTGCAGTTGACGTCATTACGTAAAAATGCTTTGTAGAAAGGATATTCATTTGAAAATTTTGATTAAAATTGCGTTTTATACTACTCGCCCTTAAACGGTTTTTGCTGAGTTTGTAAGTGACGTCATCGTCTAGCCTTGTAGCAAAGATATTGATTCAAAAATTTTGATCAAGAATGACAAAGTTGCCGTGTCAGGTGGCCTCGCAAAAAGGATATTTTGATTTAAATTGGCCTCTCACTCTGTTTTACAAATGTAATTTCAAGTTTGAAACGGTTTTTAATAGGTCTGCAGATGACGTCATCATGTAAAAAATGTGAGGATATTCATTTGCAAATTTTAATTGAAACTGCGTTTTATAATACCCGCCCTCAAACGGGTTTGTAAGTGACGTCATCGTCTAAGATAGCCTTGTAGCAAGGATATTAATTCCAAAATTTTAATCAAGAGTGACAAAGTTGCCGTGTCACTGTGTTTTGCGGGTGCATTCAAACGGTTTAATGATGACATCATCATGTAATGTGGCCTTGTAACAAGGATATTCATTTCAAAATTTTAAATAAAAGTGACAAAATTTACCTGTCACCGTTTTGCGAAAGCATTTTTTTAAGTTTGGAACAGTTTTTATTAAGTCTGCGAGTGACGTCATCATGTAATTTGGCCCTAAAACAACCAAAATTTTGATTAAAAGTGCCTGTCACTGTATTTTGCGGGTGTATTTTTAGTTTCTGTAAGGTCTGCAAATGACGTCATCATGCAGTTTGAGTTTTAATTACCTCACTGTGTTTTGCGAGTGTATTTTTTTAATTCGGAATAGTTTTTACTAAGTCTGCGAGTGACGTCATCATGTAAAATAGCCTTGTAACAACCAAAATTTTGATTAAAAGTGCTTGTCACTATGTTCTGCGGGTGCATTTTTTGTTTCTGTGAGGTCTGCAAGTGACGTCATCATGCAGTTTGGGTTTTAATTGCCAATCACTGTGTTTTGCGAGTGTAATTTTTTTGAGTTCGGAATAGTTTTGACTAAATCTGCGAGTGACGTCATCATATTTTGATTAAAAGTGCCTGTCACTGTGTTTTGCGGGTGCATTTTTAGTTTCTGTTAGGTCTGCTAGTGACGTCACAAGGATTTTATCGGTCGAATAGAATTCTATTTATCGTAAACTGATTTGAAAATCATTTTTGGTTTTTTACCATTTCTACTCTGCTTGTTCCAAGTGCTGACTCTTTTTGATCTTTCAACTGTCCGAATTACCCTGACTATTCTAATTTTGTTCTATTTGCACTAACTCAATTTAACTTACTCTAAGTATTAGTTTTTTACTCCGAACGGATTTGTTAAGTTTTAATAAAGAAAGAAGGCGATTTATTACTCTAGAATCATTATAGAACAATCATTTTATTGTTCAGAGCTGTTCTCAAACAATTTAAGTACAATTGAATCTGTCCTTGATAGGTGTACTTTTAGTTTGAAACGGTTTTTGTTGGGTCTGATGATGACATCATCATGCATCATTTCAAAATTTTGATTTGGTGATAAAATTATTGGCCTGTCTCTGTGTTTTACGGGTGCATTTTTAGTTTTAAGGGGTTTTTGTTAGGTCTGCAGGTGACGTCATCATGTACACTCTTATCAAGGACTTTAATTTCGAAATTTTGATTGAAAGTGACAAAATTGAATTGTCACTGTATTTTGCGAGTGCATTTTTAAGTTTTTATCAAGTGTGCAGGTAAAGTCATCATCTAAGGTGGCCTTGTAACAAGGATATTCATTTCAAAATTTTGATTAAAAGTGACAAAATTGGCCTGTCACTGTGTTTTGCTGCTGCATTTTTTAGTTTCAATCGGTTTTTTTAGGTCTACAGATGACGTCATCATGGATGGTGGCCTTGTAACAAGAATATTCATTTTAAAATATTGATTAAAAGTAACAAAATTGAGGGTTTGTCACTTTTGAAACAGTTTTTTCCTAGGTCTGCAAATGACGTCATCGTATAAAATTGCTTTGTAACATATATTCTTTTCAAAATTTTGATCAAAAATGACAAAATTGCCCTTTGCAGGTGCATTTTGAAGTTTGGAACGGCTTTTATTAGGTCTGCAGATGACGTCATCATGCCTTGTAACAAGATTCTTCATCAGTCGAATGGAATTCTATTTATCGGAGGCTAATGTGAAAATCAATTTTGGTTTTTTAGCAATTCTACTCTGACTGTTCTAAGTGCACTGACTCTTTTTGATCTGTTCAACAGTCTGAACTACCCTGACTGTTCTAATTCCGTTCCATTTGCACTAACTTGATTTAACTTACTCTAATTATTAGTTTTTTACTCCGAACGGATTCCTTTTTTGATATCAAACAATCTTTAGTAAAGATTTGTTGTTTCCAATAAAAATTAAATTAAGTTCACTCATCTCATTGCATTTTGGGTTTTTAACGGTTTTTGTTAGGTCTGCAGGTGACGTCATCATATAAGGTGGCTTTGTAACAAGGATGTTCATTAAAAGATTTTGATCAAAAGTGACAAAATTACTGGTGCATTTTTTAATTTCAAACGGTTTTTGTCCGGTCTGCAGGTGACGTCATCATGTATACTCTTTTAACAAAGTTATTTATTTCAAAATATCGATTAAAAATGTCAAAACTGGCTTGTCACTGTGTTTTGCGGGTGCATTTTTTAGTTCGAAACAGTTTTTGTTGCGTCTGCGCGTGACGTCATCATGTAAAATTGCCTTGTATGTAACAGGGATATTCATGTCAAAATTTTGATTAAAATTGACCTTTCGCTGTGTTTTACGGGTGCATTTTGGACAGTTTGTTTTAGGTCTACAGGTGACGTCATCATATCTTGTAACAAGGATATTTATTGGTCGAATAAAATTTTCATAGCAGTTTCTCAATCACTTTAGAGTAAAAGTGTACAAGTAAACCTGGAGCAAAAAAATGCCGAACAATTGGAGCGCATCCAGTTCAGGTATTTTACTCTTTTGAACTGATCCGGAGTAAAAAGAGCAAATATTTGTAATAACTTAACGGAAATATAATTCTATTTATCACCCAGATATTTGACAAGAGTCATGTCAAATGACATAAAAAAAAAAGAAGAATTTTGTTATGACAACTGACAGCTGCTAGAAACGTCATCCCTTTTTTTTGTAAACATCAACAAAAAGGGGGCCCACCACCAAAACAACCAAAAACCATGAAAATTTAATAGAATAATGGGCTCCTCCGCAATAATTCTTCTTTTTCTATTGGTCGAATGTTTCGAGGGCACGCACGTGACAGGTACCTTTAGCTCAAACGACTTTTTCAAATTTTTAATCAAATTCGGGTTCCAAAAAACAGACCGGCACTCGCCCGACTCCTCGCACGGGTACATTTACGGTAACGTGACGTCACGCGACCGGTTCCCGGTTCCGGTTACTTTTGCAGTACTCGACCGGTTGTATTTCCTTGATTATTATAAAAATAGGGCCATTTATGATAGAGATGAGGCCTGTAAGAGGATGTTTGGTAAGTTGAATACAAGGGCCTACGATTCCAAATGTAGCGACCAAGGCCGGGATTATTTGAGAAAAGTACCTTGCCCTAAAGGCCGGTTGTGTTTGGATGAAGACAACCAATGGAATGTTGTTAAAAACCATCAATTTACTTACGTCATCAAAGATTTTAAACAGCCCTCGTAAGTATTTTTTGGTTGCAACATTAGCGCCATCTATTGACAATCGAGTCAAATATTACAGATTTTGGTATGTATCAATGGTTGCCTGCTACCATAATACAACCACCTGTCAATGGCACCACTACCAACCGAAAACTCCTTACCAAATCGAGTACGACTTTTGGTTGGTCAATGGAAACCCTAATAGTTCAAGTTTTAGTACCCACCAATTCTCATTTGACCGCCAAAATACATTGGAACTGTATTTGGTTTTCTGGATTTGCTACATGGTACTGGTACCACTGCAATGTCACGCTGTCAGGATTCAAAAACATCCAGTCACCAGGTAAGTAATGACGTCATCCTCAGTAAAACACCCAAAGGGCAAAATTCGTTGATGAAATATCCTTGTTGGTAATTGTCAATAATGACGTCATTATCAGTACACCTAAACATCAAATAACAAAGGCCGAAATTGAAGAAGTCCTTGACACTTAAATAACTGAAGGGCTGAATTCGTGACATCATGACTGAAGGTATCCTTGTTATCAATTTTCAATAGTCAATAGTGACGTCATTATCAGTACACCTAAACATAAAATTCCTCAACCTTGCCTCAATAGTAAAAGCAAAATTTGTTGAAGAAATCCTTGTCGACAATTATCAATAGTGACGTCATTATCAGGACACCTAGAAACCTAATAACAAAGGCCAAAATTGAAGAAGTTTGTGTCGACAATGCCTAATGACGTCATCATCAGTACATGTAATAATTAAATTCGTAATGTCATTATTGAAAGTAGTCTTTGTTGGCAAAATTGACGTCATTATCAGTACACTTGAATAACTGAAGGGTTGAATTCGTGACGTCATTATTGAAGATGTCTTTCTTGTCAATAGTTAATAGTGACGTCATGATCTCTACACCTGAACACAAGATTCCTTAACCTTGTCTAAACACTTAATAATAAGAGCAAAATTCGTGACGTCATCATTAAAAATGTTGTTGTTAATTGTGACGTCATGATCAGTACACTTAAAAACCCAATAATAAAAGCCAGAATTGAAGAGGTCCTTGTCGACAATAACTAATGACGTCATTATCAGTACATGTCATAATTAAATTCGTGATGTCATCATTAAAAGAAGTCTTTGTTGATAATTATCAATAGTGACGTCATTATCAGTACACTTAAATACCCATAGGCTTGAATTCGTGACGACATCATTAAATATGTCTTTGTTGTCAATTCTTAAAAGTCAATAATGACGTCATTATCAGTACAACTAAACACAAGATTCTTTAACCTTGCCTAAACATTCGATAATAGGAGTAAAATTCGTGACGTCATCATTGAATAACTTTTTGTTGACGATTTTCAAAGTGACATCATCATCAGTACACCTAAAAACTCAATAATTAACATTAAAATTGAAGAAGTTCTTGTCAACAATTACTAATGACGTCATCATCAGTACATGTAATAATTTAAATCGTGATGTCATCATGAAAAGAAATCTTTGTTGACAATTGTTAATAGTGACGTCATTATAAGTACACTTAAATACCCAAAGGGCCGAATTCGTGACATCATTACTGAAGATGTCCTTGTTGTTAATTTTCAATAGTGATGTCATTATCAGTACACCTAAACATAAGATTCCTCAACCTTGCCTCAATAGTAAAAGCAAAATTTGTTGACGAAATCCTTGTCGACAAATATCTATAGTGACGTCATTATTAGTACACCTAGAAACCTAATAACAAAGGCCAAAATTGAAGAAGTTTGTATCGACAATGCTTAATGACGTCATCATCAGTACATGTAATAATTAAATTCGTAATGTCATTATTGAAAGTAGTCTTTGTAGGCAATCATCAAAACTGACGTCATTATCAGTACACTTGAATAACTAAAGGGTTGAATTCGTGACGTCATTATTGAAGATGTCTTTGTTGTTAATAGTGACGTTATGATCACTACACCTGAACACAAGATTCCTTAACCTTGTCTAAACACTCAATAATAAGAGCAAAATTCGTGACGTCATCATTAAAAATGTTGTTGTTAATTGTGAATAGTGACGTCATGATCAGTACATGTCATAATTAAATTCGTGATGTCATCATTAAAAGAAGCCTTTGTTGATAATTATCAATAGTGACGTCATTATCAGTACACTTAAATACCCATAGGCTTGAATTCGTGAAGTCATCATTAAATATGTCTTTGTTGTCAATTGTTAAAAGTCAATAATGACGTCATTATCAGTACAACTAAACACAAGATTCTTTAACCTTGCCTAAACATTCGATAATAAGAGTAAAATTCGTGACGTCATCATTGAAGAACTTTTTGTTGACGATTTTCAATAGTGACATCATCATCAGTACACCTAAAAACTCAATAATTAACACCAAAATTGAAGAAGTTCTTGTCGACAATTACTAATGACGTCATCATCAGTACATGTAATAATTTAAATCGTGATGTCATCATGAAAAGAAATCTTTGTTGAAAATTGTTAATAGTGACGTCATTATAAGTACACTTAAATACCCAAAGGGCCGAATTTGTGACATCATTACTGAAGATGTCCTTGTTGTTAATTTTCAATAGTGACGTCATTATCAGTACACCTAGAAACCCAATAACAAAAGCCAAAATTGAAGAAGTTTTTGTCAACAATGCCTAATAACGTCATCATCAGTACATGTAATAATTAAATTCGTCATTATCAAAAGAAGTCCTTGCTGACCATTGTCAATAGTGACGTCATTATCAGTACATTTAAACATGCAAAGAGTTGAATTCGTGACGTCATCAATGAAGATGTCTTTGTTATCAATAGTTAATAGTGACGTCATGATCACTACACCTAAACACAAAATTCCTCAATCTCGCCTTAACACTCAATAATAACAGCAAAATTCGTGACGTCATCATTGAAGAAACTCTTATTGACAATTGTCAATAGTAACGTCATTATCAGCACACCTAGAAACCCAATAACAAAGGCCAAAATTGAAGAAGTTTTTGTTGACAATGCTTAATGACGTCATCATCAGTACATGTTATAATTAAATTCGTGATGTCATTATTGAAAAAGTAGTTCTTGTTGACAATCGTCAAAAGTGTCATCATTATCAGTACTGAAGGGTTGAATTCGGGACGTCATTATTGAAGATATGTCGTTGTTGTCAATTGTCAATAGTCAATAGTGACGTCATTATCAGTATACTTGAACATAAGGTTCCTCAACCTTGCCTCAATGGTAAAAGCAAAATTCGTTGAAGAAATCTTTGTCGACAATTATCAATAATGACGTCATCATCGGTACATCTAGAAATCTAATAACAAAACCAAAATTGGAGAAGTCCTTGTCGACAATGACTAATGACGTCATTATCAGTACATGTAATAAATAAATTCGTGATGTCATCATTAAAAGTATTCCTTGTTGACAATTGTTAATAGTGACGTCATTACCAGTACACTTGAACACTCAAAGGGCCGAATTCGTGACGTCATCATTAAAGATGTTTTTTTTGTCAATAGTCAATAGTGACGTCATTATTAGTACACCTAAACACAATATCGTTTAACCTTGTCTAAACACTCAATAATAAGAGTAAAATTCGTGATGCCATCATTGAAAAAAATCCTTGTTGACAATTGTCAATAATGACGTCATTATTAGTACACTTAAAAACCCAATAACAAAGGCCAAAATTGAAGAAATATTTCTTGATAATTACTAATGACGTCATCATCAGTACATGTAATAATTAAATTCGTAATGTCATTATTAAAAGAATCAGTACACTTAGACATCCAATGGGCCGAATTCGTGACGTCATCATTGAAGATGTCCTTGTTGTCAATAGTGACGTCATTATCAGTACACTTAAACACAAGATTCCTCAATCTTGCTTCAACACTTAATAATAAGTGCAAAATTCGTGACGTCATCATTGAAGAAACTCTTGTTGACAATTGTCATCATTAAAAGAAGTCTTTGTTGACAATTTTCAATATCAGTACACCTAAACATCCAATATATAGGGATCAAATTCGTGACTTTGTCCTTGTTGACAATCACCAATAGTGACGTTATTATCAGTACACCTAAACACCCAATAATTGGGACCAAATTCGTTGACAATGATCAATACACCCTAAAATTATTATTGACAATTACCAATGACGTCATCATTAGTACATATAATAATCAAATTCGTACATAGATTATTCACTGCGAGCCTCCTATTGGACTTTGTGGCTCTTTGCCTCAATTTACTCCATACACTGAAGTTCGCCCTCAACGGTCAAGGATTTCCCACAATTCAAATGATCGGCGACATTTGTGACATCTTGTCAAGGGTGAGTGTTGACATTTAGGCGATTTCATTTTGTTGCACACTGACATTTCAGACATCTTTTATGCTACTCTTGCTCCTATTGGCCAAAGGCTGGGCGGTTACCAGGCTGGAATTGACTTGGAAACCTTTGGTGTTTGCCATTTGGCTTTGTTACGGCATCGTACACATTCTACTCTATGTTTGGAATTTGGTACATGCTCAAAAACTCAATTCTTCTTTTTTTTTTGAAAATTTTTGTTTCAGACTGAAGTTGACATAATCGAGGATATTGACGAGTACCAAACATGGCCGGGCTGGTTGATAATCGTTTTTAGATCCTTGATAATGTGCTGGTTCTTGTACGAACTCCGAACAACAATGTTCTATGAGCACAACGCGCAAAAGTTACACTTTTTACTCCATTTTGGAGCATCGAGCCTTGTTTGGTTCATATATTTACCAATATTAGCCCTAATAGCACTACACGTTTCTGCTCTATGGCGGTTCAAATTGCTGCTCGGAATCACTTACTCGGCCGATTGTTTCGCGTACTGCGTTATGGCGCACCTGCTCTGGCCCACTCGCTCCGAACAGTATTTTTTGCTCAAAGGACCCTCTTCGGCCGATTTGGAGGAGTTGGACGAGTTCAATGAAGCCCCCCATGTGGTCAACAACTCGTATACGTCACTGAGCAGCCAAACGTCAAAAAGCGAACCGCTGATTGCGTAAAAAAATTGAGTTTTTCTGTGTTTTTTTTTTTTTAGGTTGCCAATAATTCCAAGTGTCAATTTAACGCCACATCGATCAATTCCCAGAGTATTCTTGTAATATAAACCTGCAACAAGTTGGAGTTTGTTTGATTTTAGTGTTCGGAACAGGTTTTTGGTTAATATTTAGAGCAAATGGAACGGATGGTGTTCAATACAATGTCATTTTGTCGAGTTCAGATCACTCCGAACTAAAAAAAGTCAATTCGATGGGTTCCGGAACAGCAATTGTCAAACCCAGAACTCTCTAAAACGCAACAATTATCACAAATATTCCAAATGACGTCATTAAAATCAAAAATATTTCCTCACAGTTTCGCCCCGGAGTAGTTTTCAATTGTGTTTTTCGTGTGTGATTGTGTTCGGAGTAAAAAACTAATACTTGGAGTAATTGCAAATGGAATAGAATTAGAACAGTCAAAAACAATTGAACAGATCAAAAAAGTCGGTGTACTTGGAACAGTCAGAGTGGAATTGCCCAAAAAAGGTGTTATTCCGATAAATAGAATTCGATAAATATCCTTGTTACAAGGCATGATGACGTCAACTGCAGACTTAACAAAAACCGTTCCAAACTAAAAATGCATCATAATTTTCAAGATGTTATTCCGATAAATAGAGTTCAATAAATATTCTTGTTACAAGGCATAATGACGTCACCTGCAGACCTAACAGAAACCGTTCCAAACTAAAAAGGCGCCAATTTTGTCACTTTTAATCAAAATTTTGGAATAAATATTCTTGTTACAAGGCCACCTTACATGATGACGTCATCATCAGGCGTAGCAAAAATCGTTTGAAACTTAAAAATTCACCCGCAAAACACAGTTTAATAAATATTTTGAAATGAATATCCTTGAAGAGTCTACATGATGGCGTCATTTGCAGACCCAACAAAAACTGTTTAAAACCCAAAACAGAAATTACATTGAAACGTTTTGGGTGTATTTATATCAATTTTTTTGTAACAAGGCATGATGACGTCAGCTGCAGACCTAACAAAAACCGCTCCAAACTAAAAATATACCCGCAGAACACAGTGACAGGCCAATTTCGTCACTTTTAATCAATATTTTGATATGAATATCTTTACTATAAGAATGTACATGATGACGTCATGTGCAGACCCAACAAAAACCGTTTAAAACATAAAACAGAAATTACAATGAAAAGTTTTGGGTGCATTTAAAACAATGCCTTGTAACAAGGCATGATGAACAAGGCATGATGACGTCAGCTGCAGACCTATCAAAAACCGTTCCAAACTGAAAACCCACCCGCAAAACACAGTGACGGGCCAATTTTGTCACTTTTAATTAAATTTTTGAAACAAATATTCTTGTTAAAAGACCACCTTACATGATGACGTCATCATCAGACCCAGTAAAAACCGTTTGAAACTTAAAAATGCACCCGCAAAACACAGTGACAGGCCAATTTCGTCACTTTTAATCAATATTTTGAAATGAATATCCTTACTAAAAGAGTGTACATGTTGACGTCATGTGCAGACCTAACAAAAACCGTCTAAAACCCAAAATAGAAAGTACATTGAAAGGTTTTGAGTGTATTTACATCAATGCCTTGTAACAACGCATGATGACGTCAGTTGCAGACCTAACAAAAACCGCTCCAAATTAAAAATCTACCCGCAAAACACAATTTGAGGCCAATTTTGTCACTTTTAATCAATATTTTGAAATGAATATCCTTACTAAAAGAGTGCACATTATGACGTCATGTGCAGTCCCAACAAAAACTGTTTAAAACCCAAAACAGAAATTACATTGAAACGTTTTAGGTGTATTTACATCAATGCCTTGTAACAAGGCATGATGACGTCAGCTGCAGACCTAACAAAAACCGCTCCAAACTAAAAATGTACCGGCAAAACACAGTTACAGGCCAATTTTGTCACTTTTAATCAATATTTTGAAATGAATATCCTTACTAAAAGAGTGCACATTATGACGTCATGTGCAGTCCCAACAAAAACTGTTTAAAACCCAAAACAGAAATTACATTGAAACGTTTTAGGTGTATTTACATCAATGCCTTGTAACAAGGCATGATGACGTCAGCTGCAGACCTAACAAAAACCGTTCCAAACTAAAAATGTACCGGCAAAACACAGTTACAGGCCAATTTTGTCACTTTTAATCAAAATTTTAAAATGAATTTTCTTGTTACAAGGCCATCTTACATAATGACGTCACTATCAGACCTAGCAAAAACCGTTTGAAACTTAAAAATGCACCCGCAAAACACAGTAACAGGGTCACTTTTAATCAATATTTTGAAATTAATATCCTTGCTACAAGAGTGTACATGATGACGTCATGTGCAGACCCAACAAAAACACATTTTCATCGATTAATAAATAATTTATTCATTCTTATATAATTTACGCTTATACTTCAATGGTACTAGAAGTTTGGGTACTTTCACCATTGAAAAAAGCACCTCTGGTGGGTAGTACCAATAACGCCCCTATGGCCATGGTACCGTGCCATAAGGAGTGCAAGTACTTGTAATTATTATGAGTTTGCAATAAACCATAAATTATCAAGCCTAGAATCACTATGGTACTACCCAAAGGCAATTTATACCGCAAATAGGCTTTTTGTTGAATAAACTTCCAATGGTACTTGCGGTACTTCAGGTACCAACTTATACCGACTATTAAAATTCCTATAAAAAAAGGCAAAGCAAATAGCCACAAGGCATATCGGTTCAAAGTGACACAAAAAGCTATTACAATGGTACCACTCATTTGTAGTACCGGTAAATGAAGGTCAGCAATAGTCAGTAATGTTAACCAAATTGCGACTATTGCCGTAAAAAAATCAGCAAATTGCAAAGCACCCAATCGGAAAACGCAAAAACTCAGAATATTTTCTCCTGAGTCGCACGCATGGTAAAACGTCGAACTCAGAAACACTGAGCCAAAAATCAGACTTTCTACATAAAAATGGCGCTTGTAGGCAACAAACGCTACAGGCAAAAAAAATACGTTGCTCAGAATCAAGAGTAGAAATTCGAGTAGTACCAGGTAGTACGGAGTAGCCAAGGAACCATCTGAACAGTCAAAACCTACAAAATGTCAATTATAAAATGCTCAGAAATTCTGCTGAGTCTTTTACCTCTATAATTATTAGTGCAAAGGCAAGTCGAATAGGCCAGACCCTCAGAAACCATAATGCCGCAACGGCCTTGTTTGCCGCAATCTCCATAGTAACAAGGCCTCGAACTAACGTCAAAAATGACAGCCGATTGACAGTGTGAGTAATTTTTCGCTTCTGAGTCATTTTTCGCTTCTGAGTCAATTTTCGCTTCTGAGTCATTTTTAGCTTCTGAGTCACTTTTAGTTTCCGAGTATTTTTTAGCTTCTGAGTCACTTTTCGCTTCTGAGCCATTTTTACAAAAAAGCCTAAACGAAGCAAACCAAGTACCAGTTTCAGGATAAGGTACCAGCAAAGTTGAGTTTGTAATGGTACTGTTTAAAATCAATGGGGCCTCAGTTGAGGTGGTACCAGTGACGCAATTTTTGGGCCAACTTGGTACCGCTACCTGATTTTTTTGTAGGCAACCCACAATTACAAAATCCTCTGGTTCTTTTTGAATCAATATTTGATTGTTTTGCCGCTTGATGCGTGGCTTAAATGCTAAAATGTACTGCAAGGTACCACCAATATCTGTACTTTCATGTAAACTAAACTTAAGTACCACAAACTGTTTCTCAGTGACATTGATTGGTACCGCAATATTGGTACCCAACTCCGCATCCAACTTGTAGGAATACGTAAAACTTTCAGCGGTACTTTCTCGTACCAAAGTCCTGTACGAAGGCTCGGAACCACTCGAAAAGTACCGCAACATAAAAGTAAACTCAGAAATATTTCCTGAGTCATAAAAATCAACACTCAAATAATACATAGTACCAGGTACTACTTGAATAGTAGTACTTGAGCGTGTCTGAACCAAAAAACTAGTTTTGGTTGGAGGTTTTTTCTGAGCCACTCTTAAAGTGACAGCTGTCAAATTACTGAAGTCAATTTTGACATTATTTGAGTCATTTGGTACTACAAAAACAAAGTACCGAGTCTTATTAAAATGACTCAGAACGCTTATTGGTTTCTGATCCGTTACTATTTGAGGTCTAATTCTGAGCACGTAAACTGAATAGTCCACATATGCGCGACATGATTGGGTCAAGCCTGAAATAAAAATTACAAGGAATTTACTTACATAAAAATTACATGAAAATTTACATGAAAATTACATAAAAATTACATGAAATTTACATGAAATTTACATAAAGATTACATGAAATTTACATAAAATTTACATAAAATAATTTACATTAAAATTTACCTTGTTGTGATATTTTCTGATACCTAGGATCCTGGTAAGACAAGAAAATGGCGGCGTAATAGATTCCGGGTTCGGGAGCTGTCAAATTGACGTAAGCGGGTTGACGGTTGGTTTCAAAATGGCGCATGTGTGTAGGAGGCCTTGGGATTGGTTTGAATTCGGCGGGGAAGGGGGCGCTGTCAGGGTTGATGGGAGGGGGGGCGCCCAATTTTAGGTAAACGGAGACGTTTCTTGTTGAGCAACCTGAAATTGGGTGTTTGTGATTGGCTATTTGACAAGTGACAATTTTGACAGCTGTCAAAAAGCTTACCAGAAATCGAAATTGAAATTGAAATTTGTAGGGCAGGTAAATTCGTAAATCGTCTCTAATAACTGTCAAAGTACCAATCTATTTGACAAGTGACAACTTTGACAGCTGTCAAAAAGCTCTACGGGAAATCGAAATTGTGAAATTGAAATTTGTAGAGCAGGTAAATTCGTAAATCGTCTTTAATAACTGTCAAAGTACCAATCTATTTGACAAGTGACAACTTTGACAGCTGTCAAAAAGCTTACCAAAAATCGAAATTGAAATTAAAATTGAAATTTGTAGAGCAGGTAAATTCGTAAATCGTCTCTAATAACTGCCAAAATACTAATCTATTTGACAAGTGACTAGTTACAGCTGTCAATGACAGCTGTCAAATATGTCTCACCGTAAATCGACAAATTAAAATTGAAATTTATAGGTAAGTTCATGAATCGCCTCTAATAACTGCCAAAAAAAAAATACCAATCAATTTGACAATTGACAAGTGACAGCTGTCAAATATATCTCACCGTAAATCGACAAATTAAAATTGAAATTTGTAGGTAAGTTCATGAATCGCCTCTAATAACTGTCAAAAAAAAAAAACAATCTATTTGACAATTGACAAGTGACAGCTGTCAAATATATCTCACCGAAAATCGACAAATTAAAGTTGAAATTTGTAGGTGAGTTCATGAATCGCCTCTAATAATTGCCAAAAAATATTTGACAATTGACAAGTGACAGCTGTCAAATATATCTCACTGTAAATCAACAAATTAAAATTGAAATTTGTAGGTAAGTTCATGAATCGCCTCTGACAACTGCCAAAAAAAAAATCGATTTATTTGACAATAATTGACAAGTGACAGCTGTCAAATATATCTCACCGTAAATCGACAAATTAAAATTGAAATTTGTAGGTAAGTTCATGAATCGCCTCTAATAACTGTCAAGAAAAAATACCAATCTATTTGACAATTGACAAGTGACAGCTGTCAAATATATCTCACCGAAAATCGACAAATTAAAGTTGAAATTTGTAGGTAAATTCATGAATTGCCTCTAATAACTGTCAAGAAAAAATACCAATCTATTTGACAATTGACAAGTGACAGCTGTCAAATATATCTCACCGAAAATCGACAAATTAAAGTTGAAATTTGTAGGTGAGTTCATGAATCGCCTCTAATAATTGCCAAAAAATATTTGACAATTGACAAGTGACAGCTGTCAAATATATCTCACTGTAAATCGACAAATTAAAATTGAAATTTGTAGGTAAGTTCATGAATCGCCACTAATAACTGCCAAAAAAAAAACAATCTATTTGACAATTGACAAGTGACAGCTGTCAAATATATCTCACCGTAAATCGACAAATTAAAATTGAAATTTGTAGGTGAGTTCATGAATCGCCTCTAATAATTGCCAAAAAATATTTGACAATTGACAAGTGACAGCTGTCAAATATATCTCACTGTAAATCGACAAATTAAAATTGAAATTTGTAGGTAAGTTCATGAATTGCCTCTAATAACTGCCAAAAAAAAAATACCAATCTATTTGACAATTGACAAGTGACAGCTGTCAAATATATCTCACCGTAAATCGACAAATTAAAATTGAAATTTGTAGGTGAGTTCATGAATCGCCTCTAATAATTGCCAAAAAATATTTGACAATTGACAAGTGACAGCTGTCAAATATATCTCACTGTAAATCGACAAATTAAAATTGAAATTTGTAGGTAAGTTCATGAATTGCCTCTAATAACTGCCAAAAAAAAAATACCAATCTATTTGACAATTGACAAGTGACAGCTGTCAAATATATCTCACCGTAAATCGACAAATTAAAATTGAAATTTGTAGGTGAGTTCATGAATCGCCTCTAATAATTGCCAACAAATATTTGACAATTGACAAGTGACAGCTGTCAAATATATCTCACTGTAAATCGACAAATTAAAATTGAAATTTGTAGGTAAGTTCATGAATGGCCTCTAATAACTGCCAAAAAAAACCAATCTATTTGACAATTGACAAGTGACAGCTGCCAAATATATCTCACCGAAAATCGACAAATTAAAATTGAAATTTGTAGGTAAGTTCATGAATAGCCTCTAATAACTGCTAAAATAAAATACCAAATCTATTTGACAATTGACAAGTGACAGCTGTCAAATATATCTCACCGTAAATCGACAAATTAAAATTGAAATTTGTAGGTGAGTTCATGAATCGCCTCTAATAACTGTCAAAAAAAAAAAAAACGATTTGACAATTGACAAGTGACAGCTGTCAAATATATCTCACCGAAAATCGACAAATTAAAATTGAAATTTGTAGGTAAGTTCATGAATCGCCTCTAATAACTGTCAAAAAAAAAACAATCTATTTGACAATTGACAAGTGACAGCTGTCAAATATATCTCACCGTAAATCAACAAATTAAAATTGAAATTTGTAGGTAAGTTCATGAATCGCCTCTGACAACTGCCAAAAAAAAAATCGATTTATTTGACAATAATTGACAAGTGACAGCTGTCAAATATATCTCACCGTAAATCGACAAATTAAAATTGAAATTTGTAGGTAAATTCATGAATTGCCTCTAATAACTGTCAAGAAAAAAATACCAATCTATTTGACAATTGACAAGTGACAGCTGTCAAATATATCTCACCGAAAATCGACAAATTAAAGTTGAAATTTGTAGGTGAGTTCATGAATCGCCTCTAATAATTGCCAAAAAATATTTGACAATTGACAAGTGACAGCTGTCAAATATATCTCGCTGTAAATCGACAAATTAAAATTGAAATTTGTAGGTAAGTTCATGAATTGCCTCTAATAACTGCCAAAAAAAAAAAAACAATCTATTTGACAATTGACAAGTGACAGCTGTCAAATATATCTCACCGTAAATCGACAAATTAAAATTGAAATTTGTAGGTGAGTTCATGAATCGCCTCTAATAATTGCCAACAAATATTTGACAATTGACAAGTGACAGCTTTCAAATATATCTCACTGTAAATCGACAAATTAAAATTGAAATTTGTAGCTAAGTTTATGAATGGCCTCTAATAACTGCCAAAAAAAAACAAATCTATTTGACAATTGACAAGTGACAGCTGTCAAATATATCTCACCGTAAATCGACAAATTAAAATTGAAATTTGTAGGTGAGTTCATGAATCGCCTCTAATAATTGCCAAAATACTGATTTATTTGACAAATGACAATTTTGACAGCTGTCAAAAAGCTCACCGAAAATCGACAAATTGAAATTAAAATTGTGAAATTGAAATTTGTCGAGTAAAAATATCAATCAATTTGACAAGTGACACTTTTGACAGCTGTCAAAAAGCTCACCGAAAAATCTACAAATTGAAATTAAAATTGTGAAATTGAAATTTGTGGAGTCAAAATATTAATCTATTTGACAAGTGACAACTTTGACAGCTGTTAAAAAACTCACCGAAAATCTACAAATTGTGAAATTGAAATTTGTAGAGCAGGTAAATTCGTGAATCGCCTCTAATAACTGTCAAAATACTAATCTATTTGACAAGTGACAACTTTGACAGTTATCAAAAAGCTCACCGAAAATCTAACAATTGAAATTAAAATTGTGAAATTGACATTTGTAGAGCAGGTTACTTCGTGAATCGCCTCTAATAACTGTCAAAATACTAATCTATTTGACAAGTGACAACTTTGACAGCTGTCAAAAAGCTCTCCGGAAATCGAAATTGAAATTTGTAGAGCAGATAAATTCGTAAATCGTCTTTAATAACTGTCAAAATATTAATCTATTTGACAAGTGACAATTTTGACAGCTGTTAAAAAACTCACCGAAAATCTACAAATTGAAATTGAAATTGTGAACTTGAAATTTGTGGAGCAGGTGAATTTGTGAATCGCCTCTAATAACTGTCAAAATACTAATCTATTTGACAAGTGACAACTTTGACAGTTATCAAAAGGCTCACCGAAAATCTACAAATTGAAATTAAAATGTGAAATTGAAATTTGAGGAGCAGGTAAATTCGTGAATCGCCTCTAATAACTGTCAAAATACTAATCTATTTGACAAGTGACAATTTTGACAGCTGTCAAAAAACTCACCGAAAATTTATAAATTGAAATTAAAATTGTGAAATTGAAATTTGTGAAGCAGGTAAATTCGTAAATCGTCTCTAATAACTGTCAAAGTATTAATCTATTTGACAAGTGACAATTTTGACAGCTATCAAAAACCTTACTATCAAAAAAATACCAATCTATTTAACAATTATTGACAAGTGACAGCTGTCAAAGAACAACAAAAAATCTTACCGAAAATCGACCAGTCCTCCTCGTAAGCCTCGAACACAACCGAACCGAAGATGACGTCATCCGGCAGGTAAAAATGCGTCACCACAGCATCGGAAAACGACTTCCACCGATCCAACGAGGCCGTCCGCCCCTTGGAAATTAATTCCAAATTCTCTAAACGCGTCCCCCCCCAAAAAACAGCCCCAAAAAATCAGTAGCGTCACAATTTTCTTGTACATTATTTCTGTTATCTATTTGATAAGATAATTATTGTAGATGAGTGCGGCCCCATTTTTATATTATTATTGATTTAAATTTAACCTTGAACGGTAATTATGTACTACACTATAGCTGTCTTTGTCTAAAATTGAGTTCACTTTTGGTTTAAATGTCAGTGCATTGTCAACATAACCTCACATAAAATATTATAGTAAACAAAAGATGGATTTCTGGCAAAATACTCTTGGGGCTCCCGTAAAAATAGTCGCCCCCATGGTGGACGCGAGTGAATTGGCTTGGCGCATGCTCAGTCGTAAATACGGGGCCCAGTTGTGCTACACCCCGATGTTCCACTCGGGTTTGTTCGCCCGAGATCCGAAATACAGGGCGGAGGCCCTAGCGACTTGTCCCGAAGACACGCCACTGATAATACAAGTGAGAATTTTTCTGATTTTATATAGTGAAGTTAGCTGGTAGTTTTTGAGTCATTTTTTGAGGCCCCCTCAAAGTGGGCCCCCCTTTTTTGAGCCCTCTTAACACTTTTAAGCTACATTTACACCCACTAACATCATTTTCCAATAGTTTTTATTTATTTATTTCTACATATAAATACAGTGTTGATATGTGGCGCCATCTATTGACGATTGCATGAACTATAGACAATTTATTGCTTACAGTGACTCAATTAACCTTAAAGTTTATTTAGTCACTGTAGTTGATACGTGGCGCCATCTATTGACATGAACTATAAAGTCTGGCTTACAGTGACTCGATAAACCTTAAGATTTATCTAGTCACTGTAGTCTGGCTGGGTTTTAATACGTGACGTCATCTATTGAGAAAGAAATTTCATTGCTTACAGTGACTCGATAAAACTTAGGAATTATTTAGTCACTGTAATCTGGCTGGGTTTTAATATGTGACGTCATCTATTGATAAAGAACTTTAATTGCTTACAGTGACTCGATAAAACTTAAGGTTTATTTAGTCACTGTAATCTGGCTGGGTTTTAATACGTGACGTCATCAATTGGTTAAGAAGTTTCATTGTCATGTGCAGCTCCAACAAAAACTGTTTAAAACATAAAACAGAAATTACATTGGTTTTGGGTGCATTTATAATAATGCCTTGTAACAAGGCATAATGACGTCAGTTGCAGACCTAACATAAATCGCTCCAAACTAAAAATGTACTCGCAAAACACAGTTACAGGCCAATTTTGTCACTTTTAATCATAATTTTGCAATGCATATTCTTGTTACAAGGCCACCTTACATAATGACGTCATTATCAGACCCAGCAAAATCTGTTTGGATACTTAAAAATGCCCCCGCAAAACACGGTGACAGATCAATTTTGTCACTTATAATCAATATTTTGGAATGAATATCCTTACTAGAAAAGTGTACATGATGACGTCATGTGCAGCCCCAACAAAAACCGTTTAATACATAAAACAGAAATTACATTGAAAGGTTTTGGGCGCATTTATAATAATGCCTTGTAACAAGGCATGATGACGTCAGCTGCAGACCTAACAAAAACCGTTCCAAACTAAAAACCCACCGGCAAAACACAGTTACAGGCCAATTTTGTCACTTTTAATCCATATTTTAAAATGAATATCCTTACTAAAAGAGTGTACATGATGACGTCATGTGCAGACCTAACCAAAACTGTCTTAAACCCAAAACAGAAATTACATTGAAAGGTTTTGGGTGCATTTATAATAATGCCTTGTAACAAGGCACGATGACGTCATGTGCAGACCTAACAAAAACTGTCTAAAACCCAAAACAGAAATTACATTGAAAGGTTTTGGGTGCATTTAACATGGCATGATGACGTCAGTTGCAGACCTAACAAAAACCGTTCCAAACTAAAAAACCACCCACAAAACACAGTGACGGGCCAATTTTGTCTCTTTCAATCAAAATTTTAAAATGCATATTCTTGTCACAAAGCCAGCTTACCTAATGACGTCATCATCAGACCTAGCAAAAACCGTTTGAAACTTGAAAATGCCCCCACAAAACACAGTGACAGGTCACTTTTATCACTTATAATCAATATTTTGAAATGAATATCCTTACTAAAAGTGTATACATGTTGACGTCATGTGCAGACCTAACAAAAACCGTCTAAAACCAAAAATAGAAAGTACATTGAAAGGTTTTGAGTGTATTTACATCAATACCTTGTAACAACGCATGATGACGTCAGCTGCAGACCTAACAAAAACCGCTCCAAACTAAAAATCTACCCGCAAAACACAATTTGAGGCCAATTTTGTCACTTTTAATCATTATTTTGAAATGAATATCCTTACTAAAAGAGTGTACATTATGACGTCATGTGCAGACTCAACAAAAACTGTTTAAAACCCAAATTACATTGAAACATTTCAGGTGTATTTACATCAATGCCTTGTACCAAGACATGATGACGTCAGCTGCAGACCTAACAAAAACCGCTCCAAACTAAAAATGTACCGACAAAACACAGTTACAGGCCAATTTTGTCACTTTTAATCAAAATTTTAAAATGAATATTCTTGTTACAAGGCCATCTTACATAATGACGTCACTATCAGACCTAGCAAAAACCGTTTGAAACTTAAAAATGCACCCGCGAAACACAATTTCAGGCCAATTTTGTCACTTTTAATCAATATTTTGAAATAAATATCTTTGCTACAAGAGTTTACATGATGACGTCATGTGCAGACCCAACAAACACTGTTTGAAACCCAAAACAGAAATTACATTGAAAGGTTTTGGGTGTATTTATAATAATGCCTTGTAACAAGGCACGATGACGTCAGCTGCAGACCTAACAAAAACCGTTCTAAACTAAAAACACACCCGCAAAACACAGTGAGGGGCCAATTTTGTCACTCGATAAATCACTGGCTGGGTTTTTGATACGTCACGTCATCTATTGCTGGGTTTACATTTTACAATTTTCTTTATAGTTTTGCGGGAATGATCCTGAAGTTGTCCTGGAGGCGGCGCTGCAGGCGCAAGACTATTTTTCGGCCATTGATTTGAATTTGGGGTGTCCGCAAGCTATTGCCAAAAGAGGGCGCTACGGGGCTTTTCTGCAAGAGGATTGGCCGCTTTTACATCGAATGGGTGAGTCGAAATTGTGTAAAAATATCGATATTATTATTTACATAAACAGTAATGACATTTGACAACTGACGTTTGATTTGTTGTTGTCATGGTTTTTTCAAATTTTTGCAAGATCGATACGTATCGATTCATGGTATCAATGAAACATTGAAAAACTAAAAAGGAAGTTATCGATTTTCATAAATATCGGCGCTATTTTTCTTAGAATTTTTTTATCTCGGCGCAAATTTTCTTAGATTTTTTTTTCCGGCGTCGATTTTCTTAGAATTTGTTTTTTGCCCTTTTTTCAGCATTTCTTTTCTTAGATTTCGGCGCTATTTTTCTTAGAAATTTTTTATCCCGGCGCAAATTTTCTCAGAATTTTTTTTTTCGCCGTTGATTTTCTAAGAATTTTTTTTTGCCCTTTTTTCAGCATTTCTTTTCTTAGATTCCGGCGCTATTTTTCTTAGAAATTTTTTATCCCGACGCAAATTTTCTTAGATTTTTTTTTTCCGGCGTTGATTTTTTTAGAATTTTTTTTTTATGCCCTTTTTTCAGAATTTCTTTTCTTAGCTCTATTTTTCTTAGAAAATTTTTATGCCGACGTAAATTTTCTTAGAATTTTTTTTTCCGGTGTTGATTTTCTTAGAATTTTTTTTTTCCGGCGTTAATTTTCTTAGATTTACGTTTTATTCAGATTTTATTTCCATTTACAATTTTTTTTTCTTAGTTTTTGTTTGTCGGTGTTTTTTCCGCCGTTTTTTTTCTTAGAAATTTTTTTCCGTTGGTAATTTTCTTGGAATTTTTTTTTTTTTACTTTTTTTAAGCTTTTCTTTTCTTAGATTTCGGTGCTATTTTTCTTAGAAATTTTTTATCCCGGCGCAAATTTTTTTAGAATTTTTTTTCCGGCGTTAATTTTCTTAAATTTATTTTTTTTTGCTCTTTTTCCAACAAAAGAAATGCTGAAAAGAGAGCAAAAAAAAAAATTCTAAGAAAATCAACGCCTGAAAAAAAATTCTGAGAAAATTTGCGCCGGGATAAAAATTTTCCAGGAAAAATAGCGCCAAAATCTAAAAAAAGAAAAGCTGGAAAAAGGTAAAAAAAAAATTCCAAGAAAATTACCGCCGGAAAAAAAAATTCTAAGAAAAAAAACGGCGGAAAAAACACCGAAAAACAAAAACCAAGAAAAAAAAAAGCTGAAAAAAAAACAAACAAATAAATTATAAATGAGAAAAAAATTAATAAAAAAAAATTCTAAGAAAAACGACGCCGGAAAAAAAAAATTCTAAGAAAATTTGCGCCGGGATAAAAAATTTCTAAGAAAAATAGCGCCGAAATCTAAGAAAAGAAATGCTGAAAAAAGGTAAAAAAAAATTTCCAAATTGAATTAAATTTTGAATTAAATTTTGAATTGAATTTTGAATTGATTTTAATGAATTGAATTTGAATTTTGAATTAAATTTGATATTGAATTTTGAATTAAATTTTAAATTGAATTTTTTGAATTAATTTTTTTGAATTAAATTTTGAATTAAATTTTCAATTGAATTTTTTGGATTAAATTTTGAATTAAATTTTCAATTGAATTTTTTGGATTAAATTTTTTGAATTAATTTTTTTCAATTAAATTTTGAATTAAATTTTCAATTGAATTTTTTGGATTAATTTTTTTGAATTAAATTTTGAATTAAATTTTCATTTGAATTTTTTGGATTAATTTTTTGAATTAAATTTTGAATTAAATTTTCAATTGAATTTTTTGGATTAAATTTTGAATTGAATTTTTTGAATTAAATTTTGAATTGAATTTTTTGAATTAATTTTTTTGAATTAAATTTTGAATTAAATTTTCAATTGAATTTTGAATTGATTTTAATGAATTGAATTTGAATTTTGAATTAAATTTGATTTTAATGAATTGAATTTGAATTTTGAATTAAATTTGATATTGAATTTTGAATTAAATTTTAAATTGAATTTTTTGAATTAATTTTTTTGAATTAAATTTTGAATTAAATTTTCAATTGAATTTTTTGGTTTAAATTTTGAATTAAATTTTCAATTGAATTTTTTGGATTAAATTTTTTGAATTAATTTTTTTCAATTAAATTTTGAATTAAATTTTCAATTGAATTTTTTGGATTAATTTTTTTGAATTAAATTTTGAATTAAATTTTCATTTGAATTTTTTGGATTAATTTTTTTGAATTAAATTTTGAATTAAATTTTCAATTGAATTTTTTGGATTAAATTTTGAATTGAATTTTTTGAATTAAATTTTGAATTGAATTTTTTGAATTAATTTTTTTGAATTAAATTTTCAATTGAATTTTTTGGATTAATTTTTTTGATTAAATTTTGAATTAAATTTTCAATTGAATTTTTTGGATTAAATTTTGAATTAAATTTTCAATTGAATTTTTTGGATTAAATTTTGAATTGAATTTTTTGAATTAAATTTTGAATTAAATTTTCAATTGAATTTTTTGGATTAATTTTTTTGAATTAAATTTTGAATTAAATTTTCAATTGAACTTTTTGGCTTAAATTTTGAATTGAATTTTTTGAATTGAATTTTGAATTGAATTTTTTGAATTCATTTTTTTGAATTAAATTTTGAATTAAATTTTCAATTGAATTTTTTGGATTAATTATTTTGAATTAAATTTTGAATTAAATTTTGAATTGAATTTTGAATTGATTTTAATGAATTGAATTTGAATTTTGAATTAAATTTTCAATTGAATTTTTTGGATTAATTTTTTTGAATTAAATTTTGAATTAAATTTTCAATTGAATTTTTTGGATTAATTTTTTTGAATTAAATTTTGAATTAAATTTTCAATTGAATTTTTTGGATTAAAATTTGAATTGAATTTTTTGAATTAAATTTTGAATTGAATTTTTTGAATTAATTTTTTTGAATTAAATTTTGAATTAAATTCTCAATTGAATTTTTTGGATTAATTTTTTTGAATTAAATTTTCAATTGAATTTTTTGGATTAAATTTTGAATTGAAATTTTTGAGTTAGATTTTGAATTGAATTTTTTGAATTAATTTTTTTGAATTAAATTTTGAATTAAATTTTCAATTGATTTTTTTGGATTAATTTTTTTGAATTAAATTAAATTTTCAATTGAATTTTTTGGATTAAATTTTGATTTGAATTTTTTGAATTAAATTTTGAATTGAATTTTTTGAATTAATTTTTTTGAATTAAATTTTGAATTGAATTTTTTGAATTAATTTTTTTGAATTAAATTTTGAATTAAATTTTCAATTGAATTTTTTGGATTAAATTTTGAATTGAATTTTTTAAATTAAATTTTGAATTGAATTTTTTGAATTAATTTTGAATTGAATTTTTTGAATTAAATTTTTTTCTGAAAAGGGAAAATTATGAAATTTTCCGAAAAAATAGAGAAAAGTCAGGGGCGTATCATACAAAAATTTAAAATTTTTCCAGTGGAAAATTACTCCAGGAAAAATTCTGAGAAAATAAATTCTTTCTCTTCCAGTAAACCTCTTAAGCACCAACCTAAAAATCCCAGTGACGTGCAAAATCCGCCGCCTCGAAACCATAGAAAAAACAGTGGCGTACGCCCAAATGCTAGAAAACGCAGGCTGCAAAATGCTCACAGTCCATGGCCGCACCCGAGACCAAAAAGGCCCTTTGACAGGCCTGGCCGATTGGTCCTTTATCAAAGCTGTCAAACAATCTGTCAAAATACCTGTCATTGCAAATGGAAATATACAAAACCTACAAGACTTGGAAAGATGTTTGACAGAAACTGGGGTTGAAGGAGTGATGACAGCTGAAGGGAATTTGTACAACCCGGCGATTTTCTTAGGCCGCAACCCGCCTTCATGGAAAATGGCCTTAGAATATTTAGAGTTGACAGAAAAGTTTTCTTGTCCTAATAGCTATATTAGGGGGCACTTGTTTAAGATTTTTCATCATGTGTAAGTCAAATGTCAAATAATTAAGTCAAATGTCAATGTTAATTAATTTTTAGATTATCTTTGACAGAAAATAATGACTTAAGGGTGCAACTAGGAGCTGCCAATACCTTAGAGCAATTTAAAAATATTTCAAATAAAATCAAAATTTCATACGAAAAATACCATAAGGGCCTGTCAATTTGGCCTCACAGTGACAACTATGACATGACATTGCCTCCTTGGTTATGTCAGCCTTATGTCAGAAATACCGCCTCAGCAAGTTTAGCAGTCAACAAGAGACAGTACGAGGACCCTGAAGGCAACCCAATAAGCAGGAAAAAGATGAAAAAATTACGGCGAATTTTACGAAGGCCTGAAAAACTTGACTCAAGGCCTGCTAATATGGAAAAGTGTTGTCAATGTCAAAATCCTTTGGTAAGTGTCAAAAAAAATGTCAAAAAAACTTCTTATAAATGTCAAAATTCTAGGGATCAAAGTGTCATTATAGGTTGTGCAGGAAATGTTGTAGGGATAAATGTTTTTTGGAAAATTTGGATTGTGAGGGACACAGGATTTTGGTTAGGACTAGGAGGGAGATGGCCAAGTCCTATGCGCTTCAAAAATTAATAAAATAAAGAAAAAATAATTATTTTGGGTTTTTTTTTTGACAGGTGACAGTTCTGAGTTTTCTTGTCCTATCCTGAAAATTTCATGATTTTTCCTCCAGTAGTTTTCCAGAAAAAATAGCCTGAAAATTGCAGAAATCTGTAATTATCAATAAATGTGATTTTTAAGTAGCGCCATCTAACAAACAACACATGAAACCGTTTTGTAAATATGAAGAAATCTGTAAATTATTTCGCCTCAATCAAATAATGACGTCACTATGAGCGGGTTTTTCAATAGGGCGCCATCTATCAACGAGAAGCTCAAGCTTTTAGGAATTGAATACATTAATATTTTTTCCTGGAAAAATAATGAAATTTTCTGGAGAAATAGAAGAAAGTCAGGGGCGTATCATACTAAAATTTCAAATTTTTCCAGTGGAAAATAACAAAATGGGAAATTAATCAAAATTATAAAGTTCCTATGTAAACCCAGCCAATTCTATTGAGTTGATACGGAACGCCATCTATCGACAATCAAGTAAATTATGAAAATTACATTGGAAAGCTTTGGGTGCGTTTACACCAGAAAATTTTAAATATTTATTTTTGAAAAAAAAATTGTTTAATGAAATAATTACTCGGTACTACTCGGCATAATAATTCAGTGAGTAGTACCGAGTAATTATATCGAGTAATTTTGGAATTTTATGTTGAGTAGTACCGAGTAATTCTGTCGAGTAGAAATCAATTTGTATTTTAAGTAATTCCGAGTAGTACTGAATTATTATGCCGAATAACTATGCTGAGTGGTACCGAGTAATGATGTTAAATAGAAATCAGTTTGAGTAATTTGTATTTTAAGTTGTTTTATTGAGTAGTACTGAATTATTATGTCTGTCAAGTAATACCGAGTAAATATTTTGAGTAGTACTGTGTAATTATTTCGAATAGTACCGAGTAGTTGTTTTGAATTTTTATGTTCATATTCGAAACTATTCAGCATAATTACTCAGTACTGCTCGATTCAATTACTCGGTACTACTCAACATAAAAAATTCAAAACTACTTGCTTTAATTACTTGGTACCACTCAACATGTAAATCCAAAACTACTCGATATAATAATTACTCGGTACTACTTAATATATTTACTCAACATAAAAATTCAATACTATTCGATATAATTACTCGATAATACTCGGCATAAAAATTCAAAACTACTCGACATAATTACTCGGTACTACTCGACATAATTACTTAGCAGTACTACTCAATAAAACAACTCCAATTTATTTCTACTTGACATAATTTATCGGTACTACCCAACTACTCGGTATAATAATTTAGTACTAGTCAAAAAATTATTTAAACTACAAATTACTCCAACTGATTTTTACTCGACATAATTATTCAATATTTTTCAACAAAACTACTCAACATAAAAATCTAGGACTACTCGATAGAGTTATTCGGTATTACTCAGCATACAAATTTTAAACTACTCAACATAATTACTCGGTATAAAAATCCAAAACTACTCGGCATAATAACTACTCAACATAAAAACTCAAATTAAAAAAGTGAATATTTTTTGAAATAATAACGCGGTACTACTCGGCATAATAATTCAGTACTATTAAATAAAAAAAACTCAAAATATAAATTATTCGAACTGATTATTACTCGACATTATTACTCGGCCTAATAACTCAGTATCACTAAACCTAATTATTTATTATGATAATTCAAAACTACTCGGTACTACTCAACATAAACATTCAAAACCACTCAATATAATTACTCAATACTACTCGAAAAAACTACTCGATACTATTCAACATAAAAATCCAAAACTACTCAAACCAACTACTCGGTACTACTAAAAATAACTACTCAACATAAAAATCCAAAAGTACTCGACAATCGGTACAACTCGATAAAAAAATTCAAAACTACTCGATGTAATTATTCGGTACTATTCAACATAACTACTCATATAAAAATCCGAAACTACTTGATATAATTATTCGGTACTATTCAATATAACTACTTGGCATAAAAATCCAAAACCACTCGACACAACAACTACTCGGTACTACTCGTAACTCCCAATTATTCAAAATACAAATTACTCGAATTGATTTCTGCTCGTCTTGATTATTCGGTACTATTCAACATAAATATCCAGAATTATTCGCAAAAGCTATTTAGTACTATTAAAAATAACTACTCAACATAAAAATTCACAAATACTCGACATAAATACTCGGTACAACTCAACGTAAAAATTACTACCCGATATAATTACTCGGTACTATTCAATATAACTACTCGGCATAAAAATCCAAAACCACTTTACACAACAACTACTCGGTACTACTTTTAAAGTAGTTTTGAATTTTTATGTTTAGTAGTTATGTTGAGAAGTACCGAATAATTATATCGAGTAATTTTGAATTTTTATATTGAGTAGTACTAAGTAATCGAAACGAGTAGAAATCAATTCGAGTGATTTGTAATTTGAATAATTGGGAGTTACGAGTAGTTATGTCGAGTGATTTTGGATTTTTATGTTGAGTAGTTATGTCGAATTGTACCGAGTAATTATATCAATTAGTTTTGAATTTTTATGTTGAGTTGCACCGAGTAATTATGTTGAGTACTTTTGGATTTTTGTGTTGGGTAGTACCGAGTAGTTTTGGATTTTTGTGTTAAGTAGTACCGAGTAGTTGTTTCAAGTAATTTTGAATTTTTATGTTAAGTAGTACGGAGTAGTCTTGAATTTTTATGTTGAGTAGTATTCGAGTAGTTTTGAATTTTTATGTTGGGCAGTTTAATGAGTAGTAGTGAGGAATTAAATCGAGTAGTTTTGAATTTTGTGTTGAGTAGTACCAAGTAATCGGGGCAAGTAGAAAGCAATTCAAGTAATTTGTATTTTGAATAATTGGGAGTTATGAGTAATACCGAGTATTTGTTATATCGAGTGGTCTTAGGTTTTTATGCTGAGTAGTTATGTTGAATAGTACCGAGTAATTTTATATCGAGTAATTTTGGTTTTTTATGTTGAGTAGTACCGAGTAGTTTTGAAGTTTTATATTGAGTTGTACCAAGTAATTGTATATTTTTGGATTTTTATGTTGAGTAGTTATTTTTAGTAGTACTGAGTAGTTGTTCCGAGTAGTTTTGGATTTTTTTGTTAAGTAGTACTGAGTAGTGGTTTTGAGTAATTTTGAATTTTTATGTTGAAAAGTATTGAATAATTATATCGAGTAGTTTCAAATTTTTTTGTTGAGCAGTTATGTTGAGTAGTACCGAGTAGTTTTGAATTTTCATGTTGAGAAGTACCGAATAATTATATCGAGTAGTTTTAAATTTTTATTTTGAGTAGTACTAAATTATTAGGACGAGTAGAAATCGATTCGAATAATTTGTATTTTGAATAATTGGGAGTTATGAATAGTACCGAATAGTTGTTTGTGATTTTGAATTTTTATGCTGAGTAGTTATGTTGAGTAGTACGGAATAATTATTTCGAGTAATTTTGATGTTGAGTAGTTATGTTGAGAAGTACCGAGTAATTATATCGAGTAGTTTTGAATTTTTATGTTGAGTAGTACCGAGTAATTGAAATGAGTAGAAATCAATTCGAGTAATTTGTATTTTGAATAATTGGGAGTTACTAGTAGTTGTTGTGTCGAGTGGTTTTTGGATTTTTATGTTGAGTAGTTATGTTGAATAGTACCAAGTAATTATATAGAGTAGTTTTGAATTTTTATGTTGAGTTGCACCGAGTAATTATGTTGAGTACTTTTGGATTTTTGTATTAAGTAATTGTGTTGAGTAGTATTGAGTTGTTTTGAATTTTTATGTTGAGTAGTACCGAGTAGTTGTTTCGAGTAATTTTGAATTTTTTATTTTGAGTAGTTGTGTTGAGTAGTACCGAATAGTTGTGGATTTTTATGTTGAGTAGTACTGTGTTGTTGTTTCGAGTAATTTGGAATTTTTATGTTGAGTAGTTTTGAATTTTTATGTTGAGTAGTATTGAGTAGTTTTGAGAATTATATCGAGTAGTTTTAGATTTTTATGAGTAGTTATGTGAATAGTACCAAGAATTATATCGAGTAGTTTTGAATTTTTATGTTGAGTTGTACTGAGTAATTATGTCGAATACTTTTGAAATTTTATGTTGAGTAGTACCGAGTAGTTGTTTCAAGTAATTTTGAATTCTTATGTCGAGTAGTACCGAGTAGTTTTGAATTTTTATGTTGAGTAGTATTCGAATAGTTTTTGATTTTTATGTTGAGTAGTTATGTTGAGAAGTATCGAGTAATTATATCAAGTAGTTTTGAATTTTTATATTGAGTTATCAGGAAGAGTAAAAATCAATTCGAGTAATTTGTATTTTGAATAGTTGGGAGTGGTACTACTTAACATTACTCGATATAATTACTCGGTACTATTCAACATAACTACTCGGCATAAAAATTTAAAACTACTCGGTACTACTCAACATAACTACTTAACATAAAAATTCAAAATCACTTGTTATAATTATTCAATACTACTCAATATAACTACTCAACATAAATAAAAATCCAAAACTATTTGAAATAACTACTCGGTATTACTAAAAATAACTACTCAACATAAAAATTCAAAAGTACTCGACATTCGGTACAACTCGATATAAAAATTCGAAATTACTCGGTATTATTCAACATAACTACTCGGTATAAAAATTCGAAACCACTCGACACAACAACTACTCGTAACTTTCAATTATTCAAAATACAAATTACTCAAATTGTTTTCTGCTCGTCTTAATAACTTGGTACTACTCAACATAAAAATTTAAAACTACTCAATATGTACTACTCAACATAAAAAATTCAAAACTACTCAGTACTACTCAACACAACTACTTAACATAAAATTTCCAACTTACTCAAAATAACTACTCGGTACTACTCAACATAAAAATCCAAAACTACTCGGTACTACTCAACACAAAAATCCAAAAGTACTCGACATAATGACTTCGGTGCAATTTAACATAAAAATTCAAAACTACTTTATATAATTACTCGGTACTATTCAACATAACTACTCATAAAAATTCAAAACTACTCGATATAATTACTCAATACTACTCAACACAAAAATTCAGAACTACTCAGTTCTACTCAACGCAACTACTCAACATAAAAATTCTAAATTACTCGAAACAACTTCTCAACATAAACATCCAAAAGTATTCGGTACTACTCAATACAACTACTCAACGCAAAAGCCAGAAGTACTCGATATAATTACTCGGTGCAACTCAACATAAAAATTCAAAACTACTCGATATAATTACTCGGTACTATTCAACATAACTACTCAATATAAAAATCCAAAAGTACTTACTCGGTATTATTCAACATCATTCAACAACATTCAAACTCGGCATAAAAATTCAAAACTACTCGGTACTACTCAATATAACTACTTAACATTAAAATTCAAAACTACTTGATATAATTATTCAATTCTATTCAATATAGCCACTCGGTACTATTCAACATAACTACTCATAAAAAATCCAAAATTACTCTATATATTTATTAGTACTATTCAACATAACTACTTGGCATAAAAATCTAAAACCATTCGACACAACAACTACTCGGTACTACTCAATATAACTACTCGACATAAAAATTCAAAATTACTCGGTACTACTTAAAATAACTACTCACCATAATTATTACACGGTACAACTCAACATAAAAATTCATAACTACTCGATTTAATTACTCGGTACTACTCAACTACTTAAAATTCACCTCTTAATTTTTTAATTTTTTTCCGGAGAAAATTCCATACAAACAGCTCCCAACCTGCAACTTGGGCTTCTCATTGACAGATGGCGCTTTTATAATGACGTCATCATTCGAAAAAGAAAAATCAATATTTTACAGATTTCTTCATATTTACAAGTGTTAAAAAAGTCATTTAATAATTACAGATTTCTGCAACGATTACAGATTTCTTTTTTCCAAAAAATACCTTTAGCTTTTATTTAGTAGATGTCGCTAGTAGGTTTGTTGACAATTTTATTGAAAATAAAAAATAAATAAGGACCGGGCTTTTTTTAAATGGGTACCAAAACCGGTACGACCTTTTCAAATTTTTTTCAACAGAGGGTACGGAGTGGTACTACTTTTTTTTTTTCTGTTTAATAATTGAGCCGGTTGTTGGTGCAGATCGGGCAGTACCGCTGCTCGCGCGGGATCCCGTCATTCGGGTACCACCACACACACGGACCGCCGGAGAGGAGTCAGTCAGTCTTCGGCGGTACTACTAGAACGACCGTGTGTGCACAGTGCGGGGTGGTGGTACCCGAAAAAAAAAAAAAACGCGATCGTTTTTTTTTGACGCGGCGACCGAAATGCGACCTTCTGGATTTATTTTCGTCTTGGGTTTTTTGTGGTACCACGTAGTTTGTTTACAGGTAAATTTTTGTTACGTAATTTTTCTACATGAAATGTCGACACCCCCCTAATATCGAATTCCGCCCAGTGGAGCGCGACCTTTAATAAATTCAATTTAATTTAAATTGAAATTAATCGTCCGCCGCCTCATTTAATCAAAAACAATTGTTGTTGTTGTTGTTGTTGTGACGTCATAATTTTTTTTTTTTTTTTTTTTAGGGAAAAAATTTACAGTCTGGCAACGTGTCAAAATTAGGCAGCTGTCAAATGTCACAAGCCTTTTTTTCCTAAGTCCGCCTCTGGATTTTAAATGGATAATAATTCCTAAAAATAGCCAACTTGTCCGATAAAACCCCCATATTATATTATTTATTCAATTAATTCAAAGAGATTTTGAAAGGTCACGAACCATGTTGCAAGTCAATTTATAATTTGTTGACCAAGTACCACCGATTTACAGTTAGTACTCGTCAAATGGTGGTACCGTAACTATAAAAAAATCCTCAAACGAAAAAAGGTTCTCGCTTAAAAATTGACCATATGGGTTTCCTAGAACCGCCTCTTGAAAATTGGTGCCAAGCTGTCTGGGTAGTACCACACCACAAAGCGCGAGGTATAAAGGGCGAGGAACCCGCTGTGGGCCAACGGCAAACAGATTGTCCGCTACAATAATATATTGTTTTTTTTTGGTACTTGGTACTACCATTTTTTTGCTGTCAAATTCATGGCTTTTTGACAGGTGCTTTCAAAACAATGGACTTGTGTGTACAGTGTTGCAACATTGTTTTTATTTTTTGTTGGAAAAATTTGAATTTTTTTTATGATACGCCCCTGACTTTTCTATTTTTTTCCAGAAAATTTCATAACTTTCCAGGAAAAAATAATATGTTAGATGGTGCATTTAGTTGATTTTCATTAATTTTCAATGGGGTTATTTTTCAATGGAAAAATTTGAAATTTTACTGTGATACGCCCCTGATTTTCCTCTTTTTGTCCAGAAAATTTCATATTTTTCCTGTGGATAGTTTTCCAGAAAAAAATTAAATGTAAGAGCGGGAATTTCCCTAATTCTAGTTAATTTTCCTGGAGTCATTTTCCACTGGAAAAATTTGAAATTTTAGTATGATACGCCCCTGATTTTCCTCTATTTTTCCAGGAAATTTTATAATTCTCCCTTGGATAGTTTTCCAAAAAAAAATTAAAATGCAAAAGGGGAAATTTCCTTAATTTTAACCAATTTTCCAGAATTTTTCCTGGAGTCATTTTCCACTGGAAAAATTTGAAATTTTTGTATGATACGCCCCTGACTTTCCTCTATTTTTTCAGAAAATTTCATAATTTTTCCGTGGATAGTTTTCCAGAAATTTTACTCATTTTTTTACCGGGAATTTAATTCATTTCATTTTGATAATTTTTTTACCGGGAATTTTACTCAATTTTTACCAGAAATTTTTTTTACAGGAAAATTTACTCATTTTTTTCCGGACATTTTTCTCATCTTTTTTACCAGGAATTCCACAAAAGTTTTTACCGAGAATTTTTTTACCGGAGAATTTTACTCATTTCTGACGGCGAATTTTACCAATTTTTTTACCGGGAATTTTACTCATTTACCGGCAATTTCTCTTATTTTTTCACTGGGAATTTTACTCATTTTTTATTAGAAATTTTTTTACCGGAAAATTTCACTCATTTTTTATTAGTGAATTTATTAATTTTTTTACCAGGAATTTTTCTCATCTTTTTTACCGGGAATTTTACTTTTTTTTTACCGGGAATTTCACTCATTTTCTACCAGCAATTTTCTTTATCGGAGAATTTTACAATTTTTTTACCGGATAATTTTATTCATTTTTTACCGGAAATTTTACTCATTTTCTACCTGAAATATGTATTTTGCCAAAGAATTTCATTAATTTTTTACTGGAAAATTTTACTCATTTTTCACTGGGAGTTTTACTCAATTTTTACCGGGTATTTTACTAATTGAAAAATAAATGAAAAATGAGTAAAATTCTCGGTAAAAAAGATGAGAAAAATTCCCGGTAAAATAATGCGTAAAATACTTTGGTAAAAAATGAGTTATAGTCCCGGTAAAAAAAATATTAAAATGAAATGAATTAAATTCACGGTAAAATAAAATGAGTAAAATTCCGGTAAAAATTAGTAGAATAAAATAAGTAAAATTCCCGGTAAAAAATGAGTAAAATTCTCGGTCAAAAATGAATAAAATTCTCTAGTCAAACTGAAAAAAGTAAGTAAAATTTTTCAGTCAAAAAAAAATTCCGGTAAAAAATGAGTAAAATCTTGGTAAAAAAAATGAGTAAAATAAAATGAGGGAAATTCCTGGTAAAACGTGAAAATCCCGGTAAAAAATTAATAAAATAATGTAAATGAAATTTCCGGAAAAAAATTAGTGCAACTGAGTAAAAGTCTCGGTCAAAAATGAAAAAAAATGAGTAAAATTCCCCCAAAAATGAGGAAAGAGTGAGTAAAATTCCCGGTCAAATATGAGTAAAATTCCCTGTTAAACAAAAATAATCGGGTATTTTTTTAATTTTTTTTTACCGAGAATTTTATTAATTTTTTTTACTGGGAGTTCTACTCATATCAGGAATATTTTTACCGGAGAATTTTACCAGTTTTTTACCGAAAAATTTTACTCATTTTTTTACCGGGAGTTTTTTTACTCGAATATTATGCTAATTTTTTACCGGAAAATTTTGCTCATTTTTGATAATTTTTTACCGGAAATTTTACTAATTTTTTTACCGGTAATTTTACTCACTTTTTCACCAGCCATTTGCCTCATTTCTTTACCGAGAATTTTATTCATTTTTTGTCAGGAATTTTTTTTACCGGAAAATTTTACTCATTTTTTACCGGAAATTTTACTTAATTTTTTACCGGGAATTTTACTCATTGTTTACCAGAAAATTTAATTCATTTTTTACCGAGAATTTATTTACCGGAGCATTTTGCTATTTTTTTACCGAGAATTTTTTTACCGGAGTATTTTGCTAATTTTTTACCGGAGAATTTTACTCATTTTTTTACTGGAAAATCTACTCGCTTTTGGTAATTTTTTACCGAGAATATCACTCATATTTTTACCGGAAATTTCTCTCATTTTTTTTATCGGAAATCTTTTTTACCAAGAATTTTACTCCTTTTTTTTCACCAAGAATTTTTTACCGGAGTATTTTGCTAATTTTTTTACTGGATAATTCTACTCATTTCTGAATGCAAATTTTACCAATTTTTTTTACTGGAAATTTTACTCAGCTTTGATAATTTCTTACCGAGAATTTTACTCATTTTTTACTGGGAGGTTTACTCATTTTTCCACTGGACAGTTTTACTCATTTTTTTACCGGGAATTTTACTCATTTACCCGCAATTTCTCTTATTTTTTTACTGGGAATTTTACTCATTTTTCACTGGGAGTTTTACTCAATTTTTACCGGGTATTTTACTAATTGAAAAATAAACGAAAAATGAGTAAAATTGTCGGTAAAAAAGATGAGAAAAATTCCCGGTAAAATAATGCGTAAAATACTTTGGTAAAAAATGAGTTATAGTCCCGGTAAAAAAAATATTAAAATGAAATGAATTAAATTCACGGTAAAATAAAATGAGTAAAATTCCGGTAAAAATTAGTAGAATAAAATAAGTAAAATTCCCGGTAAAAAATGAGTAAAATAGAATGAGTAAAATTCTCGGTCAAAAATGAATAAAATTCTCTAGTCAAACTGAAAAAAGTAAGTAAAATTTTTCAGTCAAAAAAAAATTCCGGTAAAAAATGAGTAAAATCTTGGTAAAAAAAATGAGTAAAATAAAATGAGGGAAATTCCTGGTAAAACGTGAAAATCCCGGTGAAAAATTTTGATGAATATTTCTGAGGCAAAAAAATTCTGAGCTAAAAAATTTCTGAGCCTAAAAATTTCTGAGCTAAAAAGTTTCTGAGCTAAAAAAAAATGTCTGCACCGTAAAATTTCTGATTTAAAAAAAAATTCGACCTTGAATATTTCTGAGCTACTAAAAAATTTTTGAGTCTAAAAATTTCTGAGCTAAAAAAAAAAATTTTGACTTCAAAAAATTTCTGGGCCAAATTTTTTTTTTCTGAGCTTACCTTGATTAAATTATAAATTAAATAGCCAAAAAAATTCTGAGCTAAAAAATTTCTGAGCTAAAAAATTTTTGGGACTAAAAATTTCTGAGCTAAAAAAATAATTTTTGATTTAAAAAAATTTCTGGGCCAAAATTTTTTTTTTCTGAGCTTACCTTGATTTAATTATAAATTAAATACTACGTTTGAATTATAAAATTTCTGAGCTAAAAAGTTTCTGAGCTGAAAAAATGTCTGCACTGTAAAATTTCTGTTTTAAAAAAATTTTGACCTTGAATATTTCTGAGCTAAAAAAATTCTGAGCTAAAAAATTGCTGAGCACAAAAATTTTTGAGTCTAAAAATTTCTAAGCTAAAAAAAAATTTTAATCCAAAAAATTTCTGAGCCAAATTTTTATTTTTCCGAGCTCACGTTGATTAAATAATAAATTAAATACTATGTTTGACATAAAATTTCTGAGCTAAAAAATTCTTCAGAAAAAAAATTTCTGAGCTAAAAAGTTTCTGAGCTGAAAAAAATGTCTGCACTGTAAAATTTCTGATTTAAAAAATTTTTGACCTTGAATATTTCTGAGGCAAAAAAATTCTGAGCTAAAAAATTTCTGAGCTAAAAATTTTTTGAGTCGCTAAAGAAAAATTTGATTTAAGAAAAATTCTGAGACAAAATTTTTTTTTTCGAGCTCACCTCGATTAAATTACAAATTAAATACTATGTTTGACATAAAATTTCTGAGCTAAAAAATTGTTCAGAAAAAAAAAATTCTGAGCTTAAAAATTTCTGAGCTAAAAAGTTTCTGAGCTGAAAAAAATGTCTGCACTGTAAAATTTCTGATTTAAAAAAAAAATTGACCTTGAATATTTCTGAGCTACTAAAAAATTTTTGAGTCTAAAAATTTCTGAGCTAAAAAAAAATTTTGACTTAAAAAAATTTCTGGGCCAAATTTTTTTTTTTCTGAGCTTACCTTGATTAAATTATAAATTAAATAGCCAAAAAAATTCTGAGCTAAAAAATGTCTGAGGTAAAAAAAATTTGAGTCTAAAAATTTCTGAGCTAAAAAAAATAATTTTTGATTTAAAAAATTTCTGGTCCAAAAATTTTTTTTTTCTGAGCTTACCTTGATTTAATTATAAATTAAATACTACGTTTGAATTATAAAATTTCTGAGCTAAAAAGTTTCTGAGCTGAAAAAATGTCTGCACTGTAAAATTTCTGTTTTAAAAAAATTTTGACCTTGAATATTTCTGAGCTACAAAAATTCTGAGCTAAAAAATTGCTGAGCAAAAAAATTTTTGAGTCTAAAAATTTCTAAGTTAAAAAAAAAATTTAATCCAAAAAATTTCTGAGCCAAATTTTTATTTTTCCGAGCTCACGTTGATTAAATAATAAATTAAATACTATGTTTGACATAAAATTTCTAAGCTAAAAAATTCTTCAGAAAAAAAATTTCTGAGCTAAAAAGTTTCTGAGCTGAAAAAAATGTCTGCACTGTAAAATTTCTGATTTAAAAAAATTTTGACCTTGAATATTTGTGAGCTAAAAAAATTCTGAGCTAAAAAATTGCTGTGCAAAAAAATTTTTGAGCCTAAAAATTTCTAAGCTAAAAAAAAATTTTAATCCAAAAAATTTCTGAGCCAAATTTTTATTTTTCCGAGCTCACGTTGATTAAATAATAAATTAAACACTATGTTTGACATAAAATTTCTAAGCTAAAAAATTCTTCAGAAAAAAAATTTCTGAGCTAAAAAGTTTCTGAGCTGAAAAAAATGTCTGCACTGTAAAATTTCTGATTTAAAAAAATTTTGACCTTGAATATTTCTGAGGCAAAAAAATTCTGAGCTAAAAAATTTCTGAGCTAAAAATTTTTTGAGTCGCTAAAGAAAAATTTGATTTAAGAAAAATTCTGAGACAAATTTTTTTTTTTTGAGCTCACCTCGATTAAATTACAAATTAAATACTATGTTTGACATAAAATTTCTGAGCTAAAAAATTGTTCAGAAAAAAAAATTTCTGAGCTTAAAAATTTCTGAGCTAAAAAGTTTCTGAGCTGAAAAAAATGTCTGCACTGTAAAATTTCTGATTTAAAAAAAATTCGACCTTGAATATTTCTGAGCCAAAAAAATTCTGAACTAAAAAATTTCTGAGCCAAAAAATTTTTGAAATACAACATTTCTGAGCTAAAAAAGTTTCGAGGTACAAAATTTTCTGTAAAAATTTTTGAGCTAAAAAAACTTTTAAAAAAATTTCTGAGCCAAAAAATTTCTAAACTGAAAAATTTCTGAGTTAAAAAAATTCCAGAGCTAAAAAATTTCTGGGTTGAAAAATTCCTGAGCTAAAAGGGTTCTGAGCTAAAAAATTCCTCAGAAAAAAAATTTCTGAGCTTAAAAGTTTCTGAGCTGAAAAAATGTCTGCTCTATAAAATTTCTGATTTAAAAAAATTTTGAACTTGAATATTTCCGAGCCAAAAAAATTCTGAGCTAAACAATTTTGAGCTAAGAAGTTTCTGAGCCAAAAAAATTCTGAACCGAAAAATTTCTAAGCTAAAAGATTTCTAAGCCAAAAAAATTCCGGAAAAAATATTTTAACTCTAAAAATCAGAAAAAAGAAGACTTCTTTTTTTTTTTCAATAAGTCTTCTTTTTTTCCTAAAAACTATCGAGGCATTTGCACCTCTTCTTTTTTTTATATTAAACGTCAAATGTCAACAGGTTGACATTTGCGACCCGAAATCTTGCCGGAAACCGGACGACGGCAACCGGAAACCGGTGTGCGGCTCGGACGGACTCACCTACCCCGATCGCTGTCAACTAGAACGCGTCAAATGTCAAAACGTCAACGTCACTTTAGTGAAACGAGGCCCGTGCAAACGTCAACGATCTTGTCTCGAGTGGCAAGACTTAAGCTTAGATTTTCCCCAATATAGATTCAAAGCAAGGTTAGTTGTGCTTTTTTGACAGATTAAAAAAAAAAATGACAGTTTTGACATTTTTTTTGTAGATGTAAAAAAAATGGCGCCTACGAGTCAGGCCAATGTCATCCTGAATCTAAATATTGCTGGTGCGTGACGCCAGATGGCGTCCCAATAGGTGGAACTGTCAAAAAACTAAAAAATGACACTAGGCCGATAAGGTAGGTTGTTTTTTTTCTGACAGCTGTCAAACACTAATTGACAAGTTACAGGTGCGCCAAAAAAAAATTGCCGAGGTCGTCAGGAGGTCGTCCGAAGTCGCGCGCCAAAGTTTGCAAACTGACCGACAAGTCGCACTTCAACAACAACCTGATCAACAGTTTCCATTCGGAATTTTCTAGAGAAACCCGCCGCAGTAACGCCACTGATCAAGAAGTGATCGGTTGGAAATTTCGGTCGTTAGATGTCGACCAAGATCGGGCGTTGGATCGGAAAGAGTACCGGGACATTAAGAGGTTGGTGGGGAAAGCGATGCGGCCGAAAAAGTGCGCCCGAAGTTTCCCGAAGGCGTGCGATGTGGACTCGGACGGGCGAGTGACGGCGGCCGAGTGGGCTGAGTGCCTGACGCGGGACGGGATCACAGGTAAATGTTGTTCTGGACTGGTAGTACCGAGTAGTTTTTGTGTTGAGTAGTTTTGGATTTTTTATGCCGAGTAGTTATGTTGAGTAGTTTTTATGTCGAGTAGTTTTAGATTTTTTTATACCGAGTAGTTATGTTGAGTAGTACCGAGTGTTGAGTAGTTTTGGATTTTTTATGCCGAGTAGTTATGTTGAGTAGTTTTTATGTCGAGTAGTTTTAGATTTTTTTATACCGAGTAGTTATGTTCAGTAGTACCGAGTGTTGAGTAGTTTTGGATTTTTTATGCCGAGTAGTTATGTTGAGTAGTTTTTATGTCGAGTAGTTTTAGATTTTTTTATGCCGAGTAGTTATGTTGAGTAGTTTTTATGTCGAGTAGTTTTGAATTTTTTATGCCGAGTAGTTTTTTTAAGTCGAGTAGTTTTGGATTTTTTATGCCGAGTAGTTTTGTTGAGTAGTTTTTATGTCGAGTAGTTTTGGATTTTTTTTATACCGAGTAGTTATGTTGAGTAGTACCGAGTAGTTTTTATGTCGAGTAGTTTTGGTTTTTTATGCCGAGTAGTTTTTTTATGTCGAGTAGTTTTGGATTTTTTATGCCGAGTAGTTTTGTTGAGTAGTTTTCATGTCGAGTAGTTTTGTTTTTTTTTATGACGAGTAGTTATGTTGAGTAGTACCGAGTAGGTTTTATGTCGAGTAGTTTTGGATTTTTTTTATGCCGAGTAGTTTTTTTATGTCGAGTAGTTTTGGATTTTTTATGCCGAGTAGTACCGAGTAGTTTTTATGTCGAGTAGTTTGGTTTTTTTTATGCCGAGTAGTTTTGTTGAGTAGTTTTCATGTCTAGTAGTTTTGTTTTTTTTTATGCCGAGTAGTTATGTTGAGTAGTACCGAGTAGTTTTTATGTCGAGTAGTTTTGGATTTTTTTTATGCCGAGTAGATTTTTTATGTCGAGTAGTTTTGGATTTTTTATGCCGAGTAGTTTTTTTATGTCGAGTAGTTATGGATTTTTTATGCCGAGTAGTTTTTTTATGTCGAGTAGTTTTGGATTTTTTATGCCGAGTAGTTTTTTTTTATGTCGAGTAGTTTTGGATTTTTTATGCCGAGTAGTTTTTTTTATGGCGAGTAGTTTTGGATTTTTTATGCCGAGTAGTTTTTTTATGTCGAGTAGTTTTGGATTTTTTATGCCGAGTAGTTATGTTGAGTAGTACCGAGTAGTTTTTATGTCGAGTAGTTTTGGATTTTTTTTTATGCCGAGTAGTTTTTTTTATGTCGAGTAGTTTTGAATTTTTTATGCCGAGTAGTTTTTTTTTATGTCGAGTAGTTTTGGATTTTTTATGCCGAGTAGTTTTTTTTATGTCGAGTAGTTATGGATTTTTTATGCCGAGTAGTTTTTTTTTATGTCGAGTAGTTATGGATTTTTTAAGCCGAGTAGTTTTTTTATGTCGAGTAGTTTTGGATTTTTTATGCCGAGTAGTTATGTTGAGTAGTACCGAGTAGTTTTTATGTCGAGTAGTTTTGGATTTTTTTTTATGCCGAGTAGTTTTTTTTTATGTCGAGTAGTTTTGGATTTTTTTATGCCGAGTAGTACCGAGTAGTTTTTATGTCGAGTAGTTATGGATTTTTTTATGCCGAGTAGTTTTTTTTTATGTCGAGTAGTTTTGGATTTTTTATGCCGAGTAGTTATGTTAAGTAGTACCGCCTCTGACTTTCCTCTATTTTTCCAGAAAATTTCATAATTTTCCTTTGGACAGTTTTCTAGAAAAAAATTAATTCACAAAAGGAAAACTTGGGCTTCTCATTGATAGATGGCGCTTTTGTTTAAGCTTCTCATTGATAGATGGCGCTCTACTAAAAAGGCGTTTTCTGTTTGCATCTCACTCTTGCGCATGGGTTTTTAATTTTTCTCTTAAATCTTTAGACCCGCGTACTTTGTTTTGAACTTAAATAGTTTCTTTGCGTGTGTTTTGGTCGCTGGCTACAGTGGCTACAACGACAGATGGTACCGCTAAAGACGACCTGGACGACTACGACGCCCCCTACGACCCACTACCGGTACCACCACATGGAGGTAACTTCTTTTGGTATTTCATCAATAGATGGTGCTTTTATTTTTAATTTGTGTAGTACTCGACTCGGTACCACCTTTGGCCAACTATGATGATGACATTCCTGACAGCCGGGAGGAGGAGCAGCCGCCCGGTTGCCTGGGCGACCGCAAGACGGCGCTGGAAGAGGGCCACGACGCCACCTACATTCCGGAATGTACACTAGACGGCCGATACAAAAAGGTAATTATTTTTTTTCAAATGTCATTTTATTTTTGACAGGTCCAATGATACCTATAATGATACTATAAAAAAAAATTATTTTTTTCCAAATGTCATTTTTCTGACAGGTCTAATAATATGAGAAAAATTTTTAATTTTTTTTTCAAATGTAATTTTTTTTGACAGGTCTAATAATATGAGAATTTTTTTTTTGCAAATGTCATTTTTTTTGACAGGTCCAATGATACCTATAAAAAAAAAATTTTTTTTTTCAAGTGTCATTTTTTTTTGACAGGTTCAATGATATGAAAAAATTTTTTTTTTTCTTTCAAGTGTCATTTTTTTTTGACAGGTCCAATACCAAATAGTATGAAAAATTTTTTTTTTTTTTTTCAAATGTCATTTTTTTTTTGACAGGTCCAATGATACCTATAAAAAATTTTTTTTTTTTTTCAAGTGTCATTTTTTTTTGACAGGTCCAATAATATGAATTTTTTTTTTTATTTTTTGTTTCAAGTGTCATTTTTTTTTGACAGGTTCAATGATATGAAATTTTTTTTTGTCTTTCAAATGTCATTTTTTTTTTGACAGGTCCAATAATATGAAAAATTTTTATTTTTTTTTTTCAAACGTCATTTTTTTTTTCAAGTGTCATTTTTTTTTTGACAGGTTCAATGATATGAAAAATTTTTTAATTTTTTTTCAAATGTAATTTTTTTTGACAGGTATCATTGGACCTGTCAAAAAAAAAAGACATTTGCAAAAAAAATAAAAAAAAAATTTCATATCATTGAACCTGTCAAAAAAAATGACACTTGAAAAAAAAAAAAAAAATTCCATAGGTATCATTGGACCTGTCAAACCTATAAAAAAAATTTTTTTTTTCAAGTGTCATTTTTTTTTGACAGGTCCAATAATATGAAAAAAAAAAAATTATTTATTTTTTCAAATGTCATTCTTTTTATGACAGGTCCAATGATCAATGATACCTATAAAAAAAAATTTTTTTTCTTTCAAGTATCATTTTTTTTTGACAGGTCCAATGATACCTATAAAAAAAAAATATTTTTTTCAATTGTTATTTGTTTTTGACAGGTCCAATAATATGAAAACATTTTTTTATATTTTTTTTTCAAATGTCATTTTTTTTTTGACAGGTCCAATGATACCTATAAAAATTTTTATTTTTTTTTCAAGTGTCATTTTTTTTTTGACAGGTCTAATCCTATAAAAATTTTTTTGTTTTTTTCAAGTGTCATTTTTTTTTGACAGGTCCAATGATACCTATAGAATTTTTTTTTTTTTTTCAAGTGTCATTTTTTTTTGACAGGTCCAATAATATGAAAAAAAAATTTTTTTTTTTTTTCAAATGTCATTTTTTTTGACAGGTCCAATGATACCTATAAAATTTTTTATTTTTTTTTCAAGTGTCATTTTTTTTTGACAGGTCCAATAATATGAAAAAAAATTTTTTTTTTTCAAATGTCATTTTTTTTGACAGGTCCAATGATACCTATAAAAAAAAAAAATTTTTTTTCAAGCGTCATTTTTTTTTGACAGGTCCAATATGAATTTTTTTTTTTTTTTTTTTCAAGTGTCATTTTTTTTGACAGGTCCAATGATATGAAAAATTATTTTTATTTTTTTTCAAATGTCATTTTTTTTTGACAGGTTAAATGATGCCCATAAATTTTTTTTTTTTTTTATTAAATGTCATTTTTTTTTGACAGGTCCAATAATTTGAAAAAAAAAAAATTATTTTTTTTTCAAGTCATTTTTTTTTTTGACAGGTCCAATGATACCTATAAAAAAAAAATATTTTTTTTTCAAGCGTCATTTTATTTGACAGGTCTAATAATATGAATTTTTTTTTGTTTTTTTTTTTCAAGTGTCATTTTTTTTGACAGGCTCATTGATATGAAAAATTATTATTTTTTTTTCAAATAAAATTTTTTTTTGACAGGTCCAATCTTTTAAAAAAATTTTTTTTTTTTCTAATGTCATTTTTTTTTGACAGGTCCAATGATATGAAAAAAGAAAAATTTTTTTTTTTCAAATGTCATTTTTTTTGACAGGTCTAATGTTTTTTTTAAATGTCATTTTTTGATAGATAGATCCAATGTTTTTTCAAATGTCATTTTTTGACAGGTCCAATGTTTTTTTTCAAATGTCATTTTTTGATAGGTCCAATGTTTTGTTTCAAATGTAATTTTTTGACAGGTCCAATTGTATAAAAAATTAATTTTTTTTTTTTTCAAATGTCATTTTTTTTTGACAGGTCCAATGATATAAATTCTTTTTTTTTTTTCTTGTCAAATGTCATTTTTTTTGACAGGTCTAATCCTATTAAAAAGTTTTTTTTTTTTTCAAATGTAATGCAGGTCCAATGTTTTTTCAAATGTCATTTTTTGACAGGTCCAATGTTTTTTTTTTTTTCAAACGTCATTTTTTGACAGGTCCAATGCTACAAGTCGGTAGGTTATTGTTGGTGCGTCAACGAGGAAAACGGCCAAAATATTCCGGGCACGAGCGTCAAGGGTCGGGCGCCCGATTGCGATTCGTTCAAACCCCCCCCTAAGCCGATGAAAGGGTGCCCCGACGACAAAAAGATCGTTTTTCTGAACGAGCTGATGCGATTTTTACAAGGCAAAATGACCCAAGGCGATTCTCCGACCGGTGAGTTGTAGATAAAATTTTGAAGTTGTAGCAACACGAAATTTCTTGTAGCAACACTAATTTTTTTGTAGCAACACCCGAATTTCACAGGAAAATAAGTATATTTTGATGTAGGTGACATTTTTAAGTTGTAGCAACACGAAAAATTTGCTGTAGCAACATCAAATTTTCTGTAGCAACATCAAATTTGTTGTAGCAACACCCAGATTTCACAACAAAATTAGTATATTTTGATCTACGCAACATTTCGAAATTGTAGCAACAAGAAATTTTTTGTAGCAACACCAAATTTTCTGTAGCAACATCCAGATTTGACAGGAAAATTATTATAATTTGATGACATAACTATAAAACGGAAAAAAGGTGGATATTCGTATAGGTTTGACCTTGAAAAATACGAGAAAAATATTTAAAAAATTCTCACGTCAAATTTGACAGCTGTCAATTTCAAACATCTGACAAGCAGAAATAAATTTCAAAATTTTCCAACGTAGTGCACTTCATTTTTTAAATTAATTTTTATATCACCTGTCAAAAAAAATTTGACAGCTGTCATGCGCCCAGAATCTGTTTCGATAGGGTCGTTTGCCTTTCCCCTCGCTTTAATATGCAGGCTTCAATCACCAAACTTGGTGCATAACTATTATTCGATTTGGGCTACCTGTCAGTGTCAAAAAAAAAATTGACAGCTGTCAATGTCAAAAAAAAATTTTTTCAAAAAAAAATTTACGATAGTCGGGAAATGTTTCTATGACCCCAAAAACCCAAAAATCATAACATGAAAATTTTCTGTAGCAACACCAAGTTTTTTGTAGCAACATCCAAATTTGACAGTAGGATAGATTTTTTTCTGTAGCAACATTGAATTTTCTGTAGCAACACCCAGATTTGATAGCAAAATTATTATATTTTGATGTAGATGACATTTCGATGTTGCAGCAACACGAAAAAATTCCTGTAGCAACACAAAAAAATTTCTGTAGTAACACCAAATTTTTTGTAGTAACATCCAGATTTGACAGGAAAATTATTATAATTTAATGTAGATGATATTTTGAAGATGTAGCAACACGAAAATGTCTGTAGCAACACCATTTTTTTTGTAGCAACACCAAATTTTTTGTAGCAATACTTAAATTTGACACATATTTTGATGTAGTTGACATTTCTAAGTTGTAGCAACACGAAAAATTTCTCTGTAGCAACACCCAAAAAATTATCTGTTCCAGCTCCTATTCAGTCCAAGGAAGACCAGGCCCTGTGGAGCTTCAATTTCCTGGACAAAAACAAAAACAAAATCCTGGAAAGGGCCGAATGGAAAACCTTCAAGGAAATGGTGGCACCAATCAAAGGGCTGAAAAAGTGCGGGAAAAAACTGCCCCGGTACTGCGACAGCGACAAAAACAAGGAGATCAGTACCACCGAGTGGTTGGATTGTTTGAATGTACAAGGTGAGTACTTTGACAATTTACAGTTTTCTTCTTTTTACAGTTTTCTTCTTTTTTTTTTTGGCAATTTACAGTTTTCTTCTTTTTTCTTTTTGATAATTTACAGTTTTCTTCTTTTTTTCTTTTGACAATTTAAGGTTTGATAGCGGCTCAGGCGATAAGCAGCGACCCCAGATCGGGTAAAACGAACCCTCTGAGCATGCTGAAAGACGACTAGCGCCATCTCTCGGTCTGACGGCCGAAAACCCCCGAACTTGTGATTATTAGCTTTTAGTGTACAGCTTTAATAGCGAAATCTACTTTTTTTTTAGTTTGTAAAATATTTATTTATTTAGTGCGGCTTCCGCCTCGTAGATGGCGCCACAGTGTTTTTTTTTTTAATTATTAATAAATAATTAGGTTAAGTGTCAATTTTTTTTTTTTTGTACATTAATTATTGTTAATAAACAATTGATACAATCGTTACGATTTTGTTTTTTTTTTTTTTTTGGCAAATTTGGAAAATTTTGGTGAAAATTTGGTGGGCGGGGCCTAATTAGGCTCCGCCCAAAAAAATACCTCTTCACGTTTCTGCTCTCCTGATACAAAATTTCGATTTTTCCGGAAAATTTTCGAAATTTTTTGAAAAATTTGGGTGGGCGTGGCCTAATTAGGCTCCGCCCACAAAGCGCCAAAATTTCATCTCTTCTCGATCCTGCTCTCCTAATACAAAATAAAAAATTTTCTGAAAAATTTTTGAAAAATTTCAAGGGGCGTGGCCTAATTAAGCCCCGCCTACAAAGTACCAAAATTTCATCTCTTTGCGTTCCTGCTCTCCTGATACGAAATTAAAAAGTTTGTGAAATTTTCAAAAGGCGTGGTCAAAATTGACTCCACCCACAAAATGGGCGGAGCCAAATTAGGCCCCGCCCCCTCAAATTTTTCCGCTCTGAAATAAATTTTAACAAAAATAAAACAAATAAATTTCCAAAAAATTATTTAATTTTTTTAAATAATTAACAACAATTAATAAACAAAAGGGCACTAGGAGTTGTCCTGAAGGTTGTAACACCACCTGAAACAAAGCTGAGGTTAATTTTTGGGGAAATTTCCACTTTGAAGCCCTATAACTAGGAAACTGGATAAATCTGGAAATTCTGGATAAGGCCTTTTTGTAGCAAATTTAATCCTCTTTCGAATGAAACTTGATTCATTGAAATCGGTCCAGGCGTTCCAGAGTTATGACCAATTTAATGACGTCATGTCAGGCTGGAAAAGCCCCCCTATGGATTTCCTTTTTTATTTTTTTCCAGGCTTAGGAAAAATCCTAGAGGAAAACACCAAATAGCTTTTCTGCTTGTTTTGACCTCCTCTATACACTGGAATTTTTATTTTCCAAAAATTCGGAAAATTTCGATTTTCCATTTTGTGGGGTATTGAAAAGGCCCGGAAAATCCTGAAAAAACTGGAAATTAAGGGGGGCAAAGTGGGTTCCGACATTTCTTTGGATGTCCTCTATGACGTCATCGAAGAAAATCCGGGAAATTTTGACTTTGATTTTTTGGCCGAAAAACCCATCGATTTTAAAATTTCCAAGTGGAATATCTTGGAAATGGTGAGTCCTAGAGGAAAAACTCACTGAGGTTTTTTTGTAGATCTCGACGAGTTCTACAATGTAGACGGTTTTCCTCTAGGACTTACCATTACGGAGCTACAACTGGTTGAAGTTGAGATTTTTGTCATTTTCCAGTGTCTCCTGTGTCATAGATATAGGCCCAAAAATCGAAGTCAAAATTTCGAAATTTCAAGATAGCCATTTTGTAGAAGGGATCCCAAAAAGTCCCGAAACCAACTTTTTTCCCCTTAATTTTCCGATTTTCCAGGTTATTTTGAATTAAATGGAGCCTTTTGTAAATTAATTTTTTTCTGGAAAACTGGCAGAGGGAAAATTATGAAATTTTCTGGAGAGAAAGAGAAAAGTGAAGAGGTCATTATAGGAAAATTTCAAAATTTTCCAATGGAAAATCACTCCAGGAAAAATTCTGGAAAATTGACTTTTTAAAGCAAAATTAAGGAAAATTCATTCTCTTATATTTTAATTTTTTGGACCTGTCAAAAAAAGATGATTTTTTTTTCAAATGTAATTTTTTTTGACAGGTGCAATGATACCTAAAAAAAAAAAATTTTTTTTCAAGTGTCATCTTTTTTTGACAGGTTCAATAATTGAGTTTTTTTTTTTTGACAGCTGTAATAGTACTTATAAGAATTTTTTTTTTATTTTTTTTCAAATTAATGTCATTTTTTTTTGACAGGTCTCATCCTATAAATTTTTTTTTTTTTTTTTAAATGTCATTTTTTGACAAGTCCAATCCTATGAAAAAAAAAATATTTTTTTTTCAAGTATGTATAATTTTTTGACAGGTGCAATCCCAATCCTATAAAAAAAAAAAATTTTTTTTTTTCAAGTGTCATTTTTTTTTTTCAAGTGTCATTTTTTTTTGACAGGTCCGATAATTTGTTTTTTTTTTTTTTTTCAAATGTCATCTTTTTTTGACAAGTCCAATGATATGAAAAATTTTTATTTTTTTTTGACAGGTCTCTTCCTATAATTTTTTTTTTTTTTTTTAAATGTCATTTTTTGACAAGTCCAATCCTATAAGAATTTTTTTTTTTTTTTAAGTGTAATTTTTTTGACAGGTCCAATAATATGAAAAACAATTTTTATTTTTTTTTTCAAATGTCATTTTTTTTTGACAGGTCCAATCCTATCAAAAAAAATTTTTTTTACAAATGTTATATTTCTTTTGACAGCTCCAATGGTACTTATAAGAATTTTTTTTTATTTTTTTTCAAATTAATGTCATTTTTTTTTGACAGGTCTCATCCTATAAATTTTTTTTTTTTTTTTTTAAATGTCATTTTTTGACAAGTCCAATCCTATGAAAAAAAAAATATTTTTTTTTTCAAGTATGTATAATTTTTTGACAGGTGCAATCCCAATCCTATAAAAAAAATATTTTTTTTTTTTCAAGTGTCATTTTTTTTTGACAGGTCCAATAATATGTTTTTTTTTTTTTTTTAAATGTCATTTTTTTTTGACAAATCCAATGATATGAAAAAAATTTATTTATTTTTTTAAATGTTATTTTTTTTTGACAGGTCTCATCCTATATTTTTTTTTTTTTTTTCAAATATTATTTTTTGACAGGTCCAATCCTATAAGAAAAAAATTTTTTTTAAGTGTCATTTTTTTGACAGGTCCAATAATATGAAAAACAATTTTTTTTTTTTTTTTCAAATGTCATTTTTTTTTGACAGGTCCAATCCTATCAAAAAAAAATTTTTTTTACAAATGTCATTTTTTTTTGACAGCTCCAATGGTACTTATAAGAATTTTTTTTTTATTTTTTTTCAAATTAATGTCATTTTTTTTGACAGGTCTCATCCTATAATTTTTTTTTTTTTTTTTAAATGTCATTTTTTGACAAGTCCAATCCTATGAAAAAAAAAATATTTTTTTTTCAAGTATGTATAATTTTTTGACAGGTGCAATTTCAATCCTATAAAAAATTTTTTTTTTTTCAAGTGTCATTTTTTTTGACAGGTCCAATAATATGTTTTTTTTTTTTTTAAATGTCATTTTTTTTTGACAGGTCCAATGATACTTATAAGATTTTTTTTTTTCTTTTCAAGTGTCATTTTTTTTTGACAGGTCCAATAATACATAAAAAATTTTTTTTTTTTGAAATGTTATTTTTTTTTGACAGGTCTCATTCTATAGATTTTTTTTTTTTTTTAAATGTCATTTTTTGACAAGGCCAATCCTATTAAAAAAGCAAAATTAAAGAAAATTCATCCTCTTACATTTCAATTGTTTTCTGGAAAACTGGCAAAGGGAAAAATTTGAAAATTTTCCAGGAGAAAGAGTAAAGTGAGGAGATCATTATGGGAAAAATTCAAAATTTTCCAGTAAGAAATCACTCCAGGAAAAATTAACCAAATTTAGGAAAATCAAACTTCAAAATTTTGGAAAAACAATTTTTTTTTGAGTAGAGGGGGCCAAAATAAAACGAAAATGTCTCCTGGCATTTTCCCGTTTAAGGCTTCCTAAGCCTGGAAAAAATTCCAGAAAAAAATCAAAAAAAATTGTATTTGGAATTTTCCAACCTGACATGGCCCCATTAAATCGGCCATAACTCTGGAACACTTGGACCAATTTTGATGAGTCATGTTTCATTTCAAAGAGGATTAAATTACCTATAAAATGACCTTATTTTTAATATTAATACCTATTACCGTTCCAGAGTTATTGAGCCTCAAAGTTGAAATTTCCAGGAAAATATTAAAAAAGCTTCCAACTCAAAAACCGTAAGTCGTAGAGGAAAAACTCAAATAGCAATTTTGTAGTACTCATCAAGATCTACAACTTTCATATGAAAAGTTTTTCTCTACGACTTACGGTTCCCAAGTTATGGGCGTTTAAAATGTCCAAATGAAAAAAAATTTCCCTCAAAAAAACAAAATGAAAATTTGCAAATTTTTCCTCAATTACGTCATAATTCCATTGAAGTAATATAGAGCGCCACCTATTGCATATTTACATTAAAGAAAAATTTGCAAAATCTACGTCTCACCTAATTAATTCATTTTACCTTAAAAAAAAAAAAAAAAGGAAGCATCTATGATGACGTCATCATTTTGAAATAACATCGAGGATAATGTAAAAATTAAGTGAGGTTACTATTGGCGACATCTATTAAACAAAAGCCTGTAATTATCAAATATGGTTTTTAGTGCTTGTGCTTGGTATTTTTTCGAGATAATTGCATTTGTTTTCAAAACAAAAGTACTTATGGTGACGTCATCATTTTGCTGAAAACCTAGCTCTAATTACAGATTTCTGTAATAATTAGTTTCAGCATTTGCTTAATAGATGTCGCTAATTAAACAATTAAATCGTGTTTTCTTACCTTTATTCAAATCAGGAAATGATGATGGGATTTTCGTCCATAATGTTTCCTGCAAGGATAAATTTTTTACTCAAACCTCACGCGAGTCTTTTTTACTCACCTGACTGAGTAAAATCATACTCAGTATTCCTTGTAGTGAGTCCAGGATTTCCCTCAAATGGCCATCCTATAAAAGACAAACATATTTACAGGAAAAATTCCGGAAAATCTACTACGTCATCAATTTTTAGTTTAGGAAATCCCAATTCTGACCAATTAATTTGCTAGAAAGAATGTGGTGTAAACACAGTCAATTGAATGTGTATACCTGCCTTAAATCCTCTTTGTTTTTTGAACCACTGGCACAAATATTTATAGTCAAAATACCAAAATTTCCTATAGGTTTTTTCCCTAATCCCTAAATTAATTGGGCCTTTTTTGTTTTGTCCCACTGGAGCTCCTTTTTCCAATTATTAATCAAAATTACCTCAGAGTAAAACCGGTTTTTTTCCGCAACAAATCTTGTCCCACTGCTTTTGTCCAATCCAGGACAACTTGAACAGTTTTTAATTACCAAAGGACAATCAAGTATTTATTAAGTCCAGGTAAACAAATATTTGAGATTAGGAAACCATTTTGCTGTCAAAAACGTGTCAGCGCCATCTATCAACGAGCGGCCATAGTTGCCGAATTACAGATTCCTGTATTAGTGATTATTTGTTGCTATTAATGTTTTTATTATTAATTTTGAACAATAATTATTTAAATTGCACCATTGAACAGACAAAGATGTTTTTTTCGTTTTGAATGGAAATTACAGGAATCTGTAATTTTCAATAATTGAATTTTGTGATAATATGGGTTTAATTATTAAAAATGGGAAATTTTAAACGATTATTGATTGAAAAATTCATCGAAATTAATTAACTTTTGATAAAAATTAATAAACAATATTGTCAGCGCCATCTATCAACGAGCGGCCAAAGTTACCAATTACAGATTCTTGTAATAGTAATTATTTGTTTTTTGTTGTAATTTTGGCTAATTTCGATAAAAAAAAATTATTTTTATTAATAAATTTAAACAATTGCATCATTGAACAAACAACATTGTTTTTTTTGTTTTA